TCCGTATAAGCGGCTGTTCAGATATTTGGGATAGTTTTTTTTGCACTGTTTTAGAGACCTACATAGAATTCTTTCTAGCAGTGACCTGAATCTGTATATGAATCTAAATGACTAATACGCCGATTGCAAGTAAATCTCTATCGTGGCCTGTTAGCATTTTCCCCATTACCATTCATACGAAAGCTATTGTTGTCACGCAACAAAATCACTTCATCTTCTATCTGTCCGGGATCTTCTTTGTTAAATTCTTGATTTCGTTTAATCACATTGGCCAGTTAGCATTACGTTAAGGAAGCTTATGCGTAGAATAGTAACTCCATGAGATCCCATGAAATCCACCAACATAAAATGCCCATTTTTAATTGTCGATATAAATCTCGTGCGGAAATTATTCGTTTTCTATCATGCGAGTACGTTCGAACGATTGCCAATAAAACTTCCATTGAGTTTATGAGAGATGCAGTTACCTACTACTCGGATCTCATCTGATAAATGCAATCAATAAAAGATCGCCATTGGAAGCGTATAGCTGTTATTCTACAAAGCACACAGTTAAAATGGCGATTTTCAATATGGCGACAAAAGATATCACTTGTTTCCAACGTTAGGTGCACTTCTGTGTATAAATGTATAATAAATAAAGAAAGGATGTAGATGGCAAAGTACCGAAATCGCTTTACAGTTGACCTAACTAGTTGGAATTGACAATGCTTTACTCAACGGCAAATTTTGGCCCCGCTATTATCGAATCGGCCGGAGAGTTATTTCAGCAGTTTGTATGTGTGTTCTATATGTCTAGACGCTTGCTTTGGAACCCAACAAATTTTGTCACTAAAGCTCCGCGTTTACTTCTTTAAGAAGTTTTCTATATGAGCAATGTGTTTTAATTGTATCTTTACTACCCTCCGGCTGGAAAGTATGCAGCGGATCTATTGAGGGTTACGTAAACGATCGGAGGATGGTACACTATATCTGAAAGCCTTGATCTCGGCGCTTTGAATGAATCTCAAATTATTTTTTAACTACATTGCCTTAAGCTCATAAGAGAATAAATTGCAAGATTCAAGTTTACTGTGCAACGGATCAAGCATCTCAAAATGACGCTATTTTCTAAGAATATGACATTTCGTTATCAACTTTTTTATATTCTAAATACACTTGCACTTTTCAAGTTATGAGATCGTTGACTTGGACTCGGGCCTTTGGCAAGTAGGCTGTAGCGAGCCAAAAAAGAGAATAAAATTTGAACGCACCATCTTGGAACAGCAGTAGCGAAGACCGCCTAGTGCACAAACCTTGTATTCGGTACCATTCGGTTCTGCCATTACAAGACCTTCGTATCTATGATAATCGCACACGGTCACGCCGGTGAGCAGACGCAACTAAGTCGGCAGGATCTCACCTCCAAGTAGCTGTCCAATTGGAAAAGCTTATTTTTGGTACATTAGCTAATTTGATGTAGGTTTTATACACTATAACTTCGTAACTACTAAGGTTTATATTATGCCTCAAGTGCACTGTCAACAATTGGAAGATATAGCGAAAAAAACTCCGCATCAAGTAATCACGATTTGCGAATAAATTACCTTTATTGCATGACAATGCTCGTCCAGAGATCACAGCGGCGATCATACGGTAGCTACAATTAAAGGCTCATTGTCATCTGCCACATTGGCTAGTCATTGGTCCTAGATAACTTTTTTAGTTAAAAATTTTTTAGTTGAAAAATTACTTGGCTATCACTATGATGTACAAATTGCCTTTCAAGGCTCTGTAGACCCTGCTACTCCATACTTCTCTAACAGTATTGAATAGGTTACCGTTTAATAGAAAAAATATTTCTTTCAAAAGTTCCAAAAGTTAAGTTCACTATGTCACGTTTCATAATGAAAAATCTAACATAAGAAACAACATGAACTTAACGTGGCTATATGCCAACGACGTTGTTATCTATGCAGTCTAATCTATCTGATCTATGCAAGGCCGAACTCTTGACGCACGAATGTTTATTAACCTACAGCAACAAGGGAATCAGCTAGGATATAAACCTAAACATAACAGTAGAAATTTAGAACGGTGACCGCTATGTAAAAAACCACAAGTTTTACATAATCGATCCCGAATTCAAATATGTAAATGGTCACAACTATAATAATATTTCTTTCCACTTCCATAGAGCTCACTGAGAAGAGACCTGATAATAGGAGCATCGAATGCGTTCGTTGGAATACGTACTTCCTATTTAAAAACTGTAATCTAAAATTAGTTACGATAGCCCTATCCGATTCCGTTAACTACTATTTAATGCGAGTTCGTTTGCGTCACGAATGCTAGATTGTGATATACCGATTTACTTCAAACAAGTTACAAAGCTTCACAGGATCTTTTATAACAGGATACTCTCCTTTCGAACGTATCAGTACGCGTGCATTACTTCAAACAAACGGAAGTATACACAAACTTCATTTCATCTTGGCAATGAAAAATCAGAAAGTAGGCGCACAACGAGCGCCACGGGAAGTGCCAAGTAGAAACCGCTTAATCAGACCAGCTGTCATGTGGTGACACGATTTGTTGTTTACGGATACCATTATTCTGGAGGTGAACGACATGTTTTTTTGTGTTCACAATAACATCGGCGGTTTCCCTTCATATGGCTTCTTCTTGGTTGCTAGGTAGCTTATTGTTTATGTTATGTGTTAATTTGATTATTAGATAGAAACTATTCAGTGAATTAAAAAGTACTTATAACTGTAGTTTTTAGACCTGATACGATCTAAACCGCGCCTCGTGCAACCTGATGTGAGTTCCTCAGAGCACAACCAAGGGGGAGCTGAAGCTACCAGCGCCCGGGTGAAGCGTCAGCTTGTAATACTGTATGAAAACCCCAGTCCTGTGCATTGCCCCTGTGACACGGCTGACGTCTTCCATTGGGCCAATTACTCAAACGCGAGCGTTGAGATAAGCCGGCGGTTAACCATAGCTTGCCGCGTGCAAAAGTGAAAAAACTTCGAAGTTACCTAGCTTGTAAGCGCATCGGTGGTCCTACTGCACTCCGGCGAAGCAGCAGATAAAGTAGTTTCTTCCGAGGTGGAGTTAATACAGAATCTGCAATTACTCGCAGCGCGGCCTACCTCAGGAAGGCTCCCAAGTACATGCGTAGACTTAAGGCCTCGCTGTGGCTGCAGGACGGTGAATATTACCAACAATAACGAGTAGAACAAGCAGCGAAGACCGACTACCCCCACGTTAGTGTTTCAAAACGTAGCGATAAACTAAGTGGCACCTTGCTGATATTGACAAGTTTCCGCCGTGCGTTCGAGTTACATTTTGCCGACCTCGACGCGGCCCATAATAAAGCGTTCAGGCAGCTCCGAAGTGCATACCAAGGCACAAACACGCCGTACCAGCAACATCTAGCAATTGTTCTAATGTGGTGCGGTGGTGCTAAAGCTTACACCTGGCCGTGTCGGAAAAGGAACAGATTCGTTGGTTCCTCTGGTCGGCGAACCTCTGCTATCGAGCCGCGCTCGTTATCGAGGGGCCCATATGCTTGAGTAACTTAGAGCCAGGTTGGTTGGTCTTGACACCCACATCTAGAACGACAACCATTTTTCCAATGAAAAGCATCCTGCAATTTGGTGTATGCGATAGGGTAGCACTTGCCAGCGAGTATTGCAGTACGGACCACGGTCATTCTGTTGTTCAACTTCCCTAAGCGCGTGTACCCTGACGGCAGACCCCACATGCCCTTCCTTAAGTAGGGTGTATGGCCTGTCTGTCGGTCAAGCACACCTTGCGAGTAGAAGGCGGTCGCAATCCGCAGACAAGGCCAGGAAGACGAACCGAACATAACGACACCTAATAGTCGCCCAATATACAAATAGTACGGCACAAGATGGCACGCAATTAACCAATATAGCAACGAGTAAAACGGCCACTCTATTGAACGACGCAAAGCAGCAATTTGTGCATAGATTCAGTCCCCGCTCGCCGCTTCCTGGACATAACACCCCTGAGTACGAGGTCATAAAACGCAACGCCACTGGCTCCCTCAAGGACAGCAGTGTGAATCGCTGGTCACCCATGATCAATAACCATGGCTGATCTCGAAGCAGAAGCACTGGCCGTAAGTTTTTTGAAAAGGTATTTAAGTCGCTTCGGAAACGTGTTTAAGACCACTATTACCAAAAATCAAATCTTTCTCACCAATGGGTGTTGCGCACTAAGAGCCAGGCTGGGCAATTAAAAAAAAACTATATTACCCTGTTCATGTATAACCATTCATAATCTTATAAAAAATTTGTTGGTAAAAAAGTGAATAGTTATAAAACTCAATATGTCTATATACGTCTTTCGTTTCCAACCGATTATTTTAGGAAGGCTAAAGCGCTTCCAACCCTAAACAAGGGGCAGCTTATTGTAGCTCGTCATGGGACACATACTGAATCTGTATCAATACAAACATATTTTTCGGCTTCCTACGCCTCACCTACCCACTTCGTTAGGGCTCGTGCCCATATAAGTAAACGTATTTTATGATTTCAGCACTTGTGAAGGCAAGCTACTCTTTATACGTAGCTGAAATGCTCAGCCTATCTTCACATTATGAAAATCAGAAGCCGTCAACTGTTTTTTTTGTTAATTCATCAGCAATATAACGTCATGGGAAATTACCTAGTTCATATGGCTTGCCCACTAATTTTAGGTATACCTAAAATAATATAGGTTCAATATCATGTTCCTTCAAAACCCTAGAAATATACGACCTCCTAATCCTACGATCCCTACTATCTCCTCGACCCGAGGAGACTCACAATGTCCTGTGTTGGAGCAAAACAATCCAGCCGATATCCTATATTAGCGTTTGCTGGCTAAAAATATCGAAAACAGCGTAGCCCTGGTGAGCCACATTTACTGTGTAAGAAGTAGACAGCATCCTTGCACCAGAAAGTGTGCGGTCCCGGCAAGATTTTTAACACGCATATATCGAAGAAGCCATGGCGTTTACAGTTTGTCAAATAAGCCCGTCTGATGCGTACCCGGTGCCAGAAGAAAATCCTAGAACCCGGGAGCGAATGCGTAATGATTGTGACTCCCGGAAGCAAGTGAGTGATGCGAAATCGTGCATAGGAATTGCATGTACAAGCACCTATCGAGTTTACTTGTAAGACGCTTAATTTCCTGGACTATCGTTACGCGCTACCAGCCGAGCAATATGGATTTTGCCCCGGTAGTTTTCTCATCGAAAATACTGAAGAAAAACGCTCGGGAATTTTTTTTTTTATATTCAGTTCTTGTCGATTTTGAAGATAAACTACGTTTAAGCTCGATTCTAGAAGTATTGTACCAAAGCTAGGACGCCAAGAAGCACCACCAGGAGTTTGAATATAGTTGACCTTTTGCGTATCCCGGATTAACTGTAACAGCGAGGGGAGGTCTTTCGTTAGATTAGTTTCGTTAAAAAAAAAAAAAAAAAAACATAGAAAGACGATAACTGTGGCAACTTCTTAACTATCAGTGGAAACCGCTCTCTAGTTAGAAAATTACAAATGCAGCTATTTATGGAATTTAAATCATTTGGAAAAGCCTTACCACCCAAGATCTAAGGAACTTTAAGCGCGTCAAACACCGTAAGGTCGGTCTTTGACTTCCTATCACGACACGAAACCGACATTTGCTGTCGGATTCACCGTTGTCCGTGGGAGAAGTTACAAATATCATTAGCTTGTCACACATTTACCGACAGCCAAATACCAAAAAGAAGAGAACTGGACCTGCCGTTCTTCACGACACTTGCTTTGAATGGCAGCAATGGGAAGCAGATAAATAGATGCATTATGACTAAGTTTATTGTTTATGGATACTATTATCTGGTTTGGTGAAACTCAACGGCATAGGCGTTTAAGGAAATGAATACCTCATTTTAACGACGCCGTAAAATTAATAAGTACCTACATTGTAGTTTACCATGAAGTAAACTATCAGAAAACAAATATCTTAAGAGATGCCAGCATTATTGTTGACAAAACTTTGCATGTACGAAAACTACACAAATATAATGGATAAATGAAATGGTTTTGAAAAAACAGAACTTTGAATCCTGGCCTAATAGCGAATCTTCGTAAGAGCGAAAGCGGAAAATTCTATAGGTACTATTCCAGTTCCCCAGATTTTTCCCATCTAGTGTTTCTACGCTTGGTATCGGCATTAGGCGTTCGCCACTAGGTGTCGCCCTAGCCTGACAAGTCCTCCTCAGCGGTACCAAAACCTACCATAGAATGGACGCCTGGCGCAGCTATCGAAAATGTTTCAAAGCATAACGTGATTTTCTAACATAATGCTTGGCAACGTAGTTGAAGTTTTGCGCGAGTTATTACACTTTGCTCTGTATTCTCAGATAAAACGATACCATCAACGATAAAGGCAAATTAGAAAAATGCGCGAGGCTAAAGTCGAGACCACCTCATGGAAAGGAGACTTCGGGTATCAAAGAAATTGTCTTACACAATCTGCACATCTGTAGTTGGCTATGTTATACTGAAAAGAAACAAGGTGATAGATTATTTAACAATTCAGTTTTGTATATGAGTACAGAATCTGGCGTTCATTGTATCGCGGATATATAAACAGCAAAAGCAAGCTGTGCAATAAAACGAAAAATCTAAATAAATAAAAATATAAATTTCATGATAATAACGCTTACGTAATATAGAAATGTCTCTGTATGATTATTTAATATACTGTAAGTTATATTAAATGCGAATTTTTACGCTATTATTTATAGACAGTTGGCTGTACTGGAACGACATTAGCTCATCGTCGCAATGTATCTTTTACTTATACATCGGATATCCGTGACTACGAAGGGAGTGCATACCATATCACCTGCGAATACGACCATACCAGTCGAGATTTGGTTATCCAACTCAATCACGATGGATCTGAAGCTCTTAAGATGCTGCGCTATCAATGGTTAGTCTAATAGTTCAGTGAAGTGCCATGTTGCATGGGTACGTACTACATTATCGACAAACACGTACTATACAGATTATTTTCCCAATGTATTAATCATTTTTATAGATTCATTTAACAATTTCTCATCCGTACGTGTATCGCTACATATTGAAACTAGGCGTTCTTCATTATTTTCGCTTTTTTTTTGCACAGATTGTGATTTAATTAGTAAGAGAAACGATTTTCACGAACTATTTATCAACCTACAACAAGTCTTTGGCGGTGTTTGAAAGTATATATCATTCTGTATTAATTGAAGTTTTCGGGGTTCGGGTGTTCCCTTTATTGTTAAAATCGCATCTTTATTTATCGATACACAGGTCAGTACGATCGCAAGTCACGTTCCCAAGTCAGTGAAGAGAGCAGTGAGGTCCATTGTAAATCTCGAGCCAGAGCTATGCGTTTGTTCTATATAGATGACGGTTCTCCGGGCCTAAAATACGATGCATTTTATGCTAGGCTCTGTAACTAATAATATGTATAGTACTCGTTGTTGGCGGGACTTGAAACAGGGACCGCTGGTCTGTTTTATCCGGGATTCTTTTAGCCGCGAATGAACCGGAAAGTTTAGCGCGGGTGTATGTATCTTGCAAGCCACTTCATCAGTTGAGCCATGGCAGAATTATAACAGAAAGCATCATTTTTCCATTCCTAAAGGACATATGACAATTTGTGGGTATGCCATTCTACTTTTCGACTCGGACCGATACTTGTTGTCGGGCAATAAATAACCACAAGCGCACAAGTAACCGTTTTTCAGTTAATCGGCCTACATTTAGGTTTCGAAAATATAACGCAAAGACGGGCCATGACTTAATAGGTCAACATTTACGCGCCGTTATAGCCCTATAAAGTGTTTTTGCCGCACGAAAGCGAACTGCAGCTACGCACGCGCTTCCATTGATTGAAATATGCCTACCGTGTACTACTTGTAAACTGTACAGTTTCATGTAATTCCAGCCTCAACCAGAACTCATATTACGATAAGACACAAGGAACTTTACATTTTGATGTAAGTGGATCGGAAGGCTTGGAGTTTGTTAGCTCTATGATATCGCAAAATCTGGGTAATTGCTTTTAGGAATGAAGGATGGTTTGATAATTTTCAGTGATCTATCGACTATTAAATATTGGCACGCAGTAACGATGACGTTGCTGGGTCTTCGTCATGTAATCTTTAGACCAGCAGAGAACTGAGAACGAAAATTCTTTAAGAATATCACGAACTTTTTCGCGTAGGATACTCAGTTAAGCATTTTGACTGATATAGCTACTTTGGACCAGTGATTAGACCGAAAGGTCATAAGATTCATGAAATCTTTTTTTTTTAATGTTCAGTGATTCGGTAAAAAACCGAAATTTTGGATATTTGTAGCTAGATTTCCTATATTATTACAGTAACCCTATTTGAAACTATTTTTAATTTGACACTTCAGATTTGTTACTGAAGCCCAATTGCAGTTTACAGAAACTGCAATTTATTTTATATATTTAATTTTTTTTATAAAAGAAAAGGTGCTATTTTCTTTCTAGAGAACCAACTGTCAACACTATGTGCTAACTCCAAGCCTCCTCGGTAAGATCTCACTACAGGTCTTCTTGCACTTGTTCTTCAGTTGCACTAGAATTGCTTCACGTTATTGGAGAGAAGGCGCTATCAGGTCCTCCTAGCTGTTACTAAGTCCGATTATTTTATATCAGTAGTTGTCTTCTTTCCGTTTAGCTCGTCGGTGTTCCGAATAGTGCTTCTTCTTCCTGTTCTTTTTCTATTCCAGCTCGTTTTCCTTTGCGCCAGCTTGTTCACCGCTTTAAATGATACCGGTGATCACATATTCCATGCGGCATCACTGTAAGCTTCTACAAGCCATTTTCTATTGGATCTTCCGCTGAACACTGGAAGACGGTGGGTGTTGCATTGTGGATTACGCCTGCTGTATATAATCCATCCTTGGCGCTTCAAGCCTTTTTACCGTGTATAAATGTTTTTTAAAACACACGCGTCCAGTTAATAATTTTTTTGATGATGAGGCCATAATTTGTTTAAGTGTTTGGTTAAATTAGGCCTCATTCATTGTTGCGCCGGTGTCTCGTCATGTTTTGTCGGTGAGGTTACTTCTTTTGGGAAGTTCTTCGCTGCGGTGCTTTACTTCTGCTATTACTGACCCACACTTTACTCTCTCGCTTCTTGCTTGGGATCGTTCTTCAACCTGTTTCTCTTCTTGACAGGTGCATTAGTCATACGGTGCAAATACTGAATATGTTTACGAGGTTTGGTTATATATGCGCTTGCCACCACCTGTATTGCTGTAAACCTTTACATTTTCAAGGGTTTCGTTATCGCAGTAGGTCTCTGCATAGGCGTCGCGTAATGCACAATCGACTCGACTACTTTGTTAAGAGTCTCTTTTTTCTTCCTGTGGATTTTTATTAGGCTTTTCGAGGCTTTCCCAGCAACTCTGCGGATATGGAAATTACCTTTGAGGAGCCCTTTGGAGCACTTGAATGATCATCAATCTATAAAGGGAGCCTTTTCCCGCCCATTGCGTTTATTGTTAGCTCACACTTCAGAAAATTGAATATCATCATGGTACATACATAGATAAAACCGCACACTATTTTCTTCATGTTTTATATAAAACCATGTTGATAGTGCTTTCGATAGACCGATCTTAATGAAATACAAAAGCATTCTTCTCCCTTCCGATTTCGCTGACAGTTTTCTACCTGTTTGACGTCTTCAAAAGCATTTCCAGTCGCGTCCAGTAGACAAGACGTTCCGTGATATGTAGAGATTTTCCTGCTTTCTTTACAAGACAGAAAACTACCCGTGTACATTCTGAGGGACACCTTTCCTTCTGTGGTATCTTGTTCAACTTACGGTTGAAGACTTCAGGATTTTCTAGAAAGAAAAGATTTTGATCCTGTTAATTAATAGTCCCGTTAATTAATAGCTTTGATCACCTTAGTTTCTTTTTGAGAGCCAAGAAAAACCGTTTTGTCCTTTATTTTGATCACTAGATTAGGACCTTGGAAACAGCCTGATGATAGTTACTCTACCAACGAATAAGGCTGCGCTGGCCATGGCTTTCTCGGGCAACACATCACTACCTAATGAAGTTCATGCTCAATGCATTCTTTACGTTGGAAGCGTCGCTACGTGACGCGACGTCTTCCCCCACCGATATTCCAAGAAAGCGTTTTGGACTCTCTGGCTCATTGCTGCGTGCAACAGGCTTCTCCTATGCAGTCCGTGGTTGGATGTGGTCTCCTGTATTGCAAAGTAATTATTTTGCCGAGTTTTCTTGGCCACCGTGTGGCCTGTTGCCGCTCTTTGTAAATCAATAGGAAGTTGTGTAACCAGGGCTGCCATCAACAAATTGCAATAAATCAAATATGATATTTTTTTTCAAGAAGTGACTTTAGCAAAGGTGCATGGTGGCATAATCTTTGTACAGCGTTTATGCAATAATTACTTTATATGATTTTTTAATATTTAAAACATAATTACATATTCTATTGATATGTAATTATGTTTTATTTATTAAATGTAATGTGACAAGCCTCCGTTAGGAGCATCTATGATAAGTATGTACACCTTAGTGTCAAGCCTCCTATATTTTGTCAGAAGTAAAACTTACGCAGAGCCCTACAGCGTTGTTTATGGAGTTATTATTAACATATTACATAATCCATTCAGCTTTAGCTGTTTAGACGGGCGCTTTATTCTAACCATTCATGACATAATTAGAATGTAGACTAAAATGGTCTGTAGTAGCCGCATAGACGGCTCTGCGCTACCACAAAATACTGAAACAGGTACGACGTTATGACGTTTCATCGATATTACATTTTTGTCATGCGCTGAGTAAACTAGTATTGCGTGCGCTCAAGAGCTTCGGTGTAAATGGGGTGGTTAGGGCGCACAACACAGTGTGCACGGTTTAATTGAAGTAAACTTTCGAAATTTATGTCAAAAGAAATAGGTATCAAATCCAGTATTTTCTGGAATCAAATCTCAAATTAGAGCAGTGGACTGGATGCAGATGTTTGAATCCTGTGTGGCTGTTTTTTTTTGTCACCTTTGTGTAGTACATATACAAGCTGCATAAATGATCATGTAGCGCTAAAGTCCTGCAGTCGAAGTCACAGTCAGGCAGTAGTCAGCTCTCGCCTAGATCACGCGCATCAAGAGACGTCATGTCGCTTGTGGTAATCCATTATAATACATAAACTGTGGTAGTACGTGTGTATGGCATATCAAACTTCGACATCTCGGTTCGGTCTCTTCCAGAGTACCTTATGGCACTAGTCAGAAAGAAAACAGGGTCGATTTGCGCTATTTCCTGTGCATGTTCATGGATGGGTTGTACGTAGGCTGTTGTTTCTAGTCAGTGAAACCTCTTTTGCAAATATCTCAAAAAAGCATTTAACAAAGGTGACAAGCTTGGCGATTTTTAGCAGTAACATGCAGTTCAAGAATGTTCGCTAGGAACATGGACTTAACATGATCCAGTGAAAAGTTAGTTGATTATTAGATACTCCCAGATTAGTAGACAGATCAGCCTGCCTGCCTGCTTGCCCTACAATAGCCCAGGACATCTGTGAGTTTAGTGAAATCTCACTGGATAGTCGTGGCCGATCCAGACCTTCGAAAAAGATTTCTCATTATCCAAATTGATTCAACGATGTGTCAACAGCGCAGCTTCCGCTATGACCAACGCTCGAAGACTTTTGAACCAGGCCCTGGTTGCACTGAAAACAAAGACCATGCCTAGGAACAGCAACTCCAAATCTCGTAGTCAGTCGCGAGTACGCCCTTAGAGCAGAGGTCAGAACAGATTTGTAAAAAACGCTAGAAATCATTCAGAATTGTGGCGGCACCTTCACATTGACGGACCTAAATCACGGCATCCAATCGACTCAGAAAGGTCTTGCCAACCAGTCCATTTTGACTTTCCAGGATTTTACTCCGTGTACTGCCTTGCGAAGAATGAAGAAGGCCATGGGCGCGCCAGTAGTGGAGTCTCAGTGTTTTACATTAGAATGCTGTGGACTTAATCATGCAGAGGACAACATCATAGCTTTATGTGACCCTAAAATACGACTTGTAGCGGCGTATGTACGACCAAATAACAAGATGTGCACTTTGATTTTGGTAGAGAATATTGTTGACAGCCTACAGGTCGTATCCGTTTACCTCGAATCAAACGTTAGCCCTTTGAAACACACTAAATAATTATTGCTGAGTAGGTAACCTTGGCAAGGTACTGACGTTTGCCGATCTTGCAGGAAGTTCTGTCGTACGTAACAAAAGCTAGTAGGCGTAAAGTCAATTATGTTGACAAGAAACATTTTCTCTGGGTTAGACCTTGAGGTTCTCTTCGAGAGTGGGATTCGAAGAAACTCCTAGAACGGAACCTTATTAACTTTTCCCAGATTGACATTGAGGTTTATGCGTATCATCCCGTCGACATCCTGCAATGTTCGGTTCACCCAGCTCGCCCTAGTAGACACCAATCGTGGCTCGATTACAATTTCCTACGCTTTTCGTACCCAAAATGCATCTGAGCTACATCACAACCACCAGCAGGACTACCAATCATAATGTTCGAAGCAATCTGCTGGAGGATCTAGGCCGCCCAACGCAAGAGATATTTACAAAAACAGGAAGCTATTTTCGTAAAACAGGCCAAGCATCAGCCATATAAATGAATAGGTGCCAACAACCTACGTTGTATTCCGCCGTTTCCTCGGTGCTCATCGACCACTTCGTTGGATGGTTCTTATTTAGTGACACCGTGCCTTAAGGAGTCTCACCGCGCAGCGCATCGACCGCAAAGCAAGTCGACAACGGGTAAACCCGAAAGACTAAGCCAGGAATTCTCCGTTTTGGAAGGTACTTAAGCGCTCAAAGGACTACATTTAAAAACGAACGTAGGACCGGAGAGTATTCAGAATGAATACTTAAGGCCGCCATGGTAATGGCACGGCACTGGACGGCTTTGTTCAACGTATATATTCCTTTTGGACTGATTTCTTCTAATTGGCTGGATGCAACGCTTTTCGTTATCCCAAAAGACAAAGGCGACCCAAGCTGACAAACTTCGTGGCGCGAGATCGTAAGAAAAAGCGTCTGCTATAATCTTTTCCTATACGTGCCGGTAAAAAAAAATAAACGTGTTCCTGAAAGGTATGAGTGACTCAAGGAGCAACACAGATCTAGGAGAGAGCGTTCAACCGAAACAGCAAGATCCTACCTGCCAGTGTCAAACGAATCGTAAGTAGACCTCGACAACGTATTTACGCAATATTTATAAACTTCAAAGCTGCCTTCAACTCCGTACTAAAAAATATTGTGTTAATCATCCTCGCCGACTTTGGAATTCCCATGAATATGCTCATCTTGTTAGCAGCGATACTCCAGAAGAACAGGTTTACAGATGACGATGGAAGTACTACCAGCGTTCTTCCTGATCACAGGTATGGCTCAACTACGGAACTGATAACTTAAACCCTCTATTTTTCTCAGTTTTGCTTAAGGATCTTCCGAACAGGTTATACAGGTCCGGAAATATGAGGTTTTCCTATATGCTGACAATTTAGTTCTTTACGAAGGCAGTCGCTTTCATATGTACCATGCCATAACGAGGTTATATTCCGTCCTCTCCAAATTGAGGTTGACTATCAACTAAAATTGAGGCTATGAAAGTCGGACCAGGTGGCAGGGTTATAGCTCATGAGACACTGTATTTCTTAGGCCGACTCCTGCTATACGGTAAGCGATTCATTTATCCAGGGTTGTTGACCTTGTATAATGGCCGAAGTGTCTCCGAGCATATTACAGAAAGATCGAGGAAACCCTTTATACCTCTGACATCAATACATAATCCCTGCCTGTTGTCTCCCTCAGCCATTTGGTGACTTTTCAATCTGCGGCCGCTCGCAGGGTGAGGTTCATCTGGAATAATCTCACAGTAAAGAGCCCAGATCGTTAGAACTGAATAAAGGCCTCGTTCTTCAAAAGAGCCTTGGAGTTGTCTACCTAGTGGCGGCGCCATTGTTTGCTGAGGACGTGCATTACCGTTTCCACCTATCGTAAATTTCATTAATCCAAAAAACTTTGGTAAGAGGGGATCGAAAATTAGCGAAAATCAATCCGTATTTCATTCAGCCGGGGGTATGATGGACGAGATCTAGATGAGTTTGACTGGTTTACCAGACATACGGTGACACACCAATACAGTAGACGGTTTTCACCATCGCCTATGAAGCACACAGGAGTACATGAATCTAATTAACACTGTGTTTACATTAAGTGTAGGAAGATCTGTACCACACTTCCTCCTGCTCACATGTTCAGTTGCAATAACTAACCGAATAAGGAAAGCAATAATGTGTAATGTAGAAAGCAATTACTGGTTGATTTTAAATAATTAATCCCATGAAACCTAACCCAATCATTCACTTGGTGATTTTAGCTCATAAACCCATTATATTAGGATAGCATTTAAAACCTGGCATGCTTAATACGTTAGGTTGATAAAAATATATAGTATCTGGAATGGTAAGTTCTGAAGTGCTGAAGGGAAACCAATTGTTCGGACACCTTTAGTGCACGTAATATAGTGCACTTCGGTTTTCAGTGTTTTTATTATTCAAATAAACTTATTGGCTGGTGCAATCAATAGATAACTAGCTCCTTCTGCGCCATTGTTAATAGACGTCGATGCTGCAAGTTCATACACTAAAGTTATTCTAAGTATAAGTCAAAAAAAATATTGCAGTCGTTTGATACGAGTGTCAAGCATACGTCGCCTGCTTCGTATAATACGAGTATATCATCTACCATTTACCCACTAGACAACTAAAACAACGTGCTCAAAAAGCGTGTGCTCGAAATGGGTTGCATGCCATATTATTTAAAAAAAATTTTCAGAAGACAGTTCGTTGCTGATTTTGGCTATGTTCCGAGTTTTCTGCGATCACTAAAAAATCCGGAATCTATTTTGTTACTCGTTGGGCGATTGCTGTTTAGTACTGGAAAGCCATGAGTCACCGGTTGCACAATCTAATTTTTCGTTCAATTACGGTTTCCTTTCAGTAACTCCCCAGATAACGCGCTTATTATTATTACTGTATTATTATATATAATCGACCAGTCAAGAACATTTAGTTCACCACAATAAGGATATCTATGATCAGTATTATTACGCCTGCTCGGTGTTCGTTTGAGTGGAACAGACGCTTCATATCGCTGTCGTTTATCAAAGAAAATCGACAGCAAGACGTAACGAGCAGTTGTACGAAAGTAATGCGGAATGAGGCGCTTGGCCAGACTCGAATCACTCGGTAGATCCGTCCGTGAATCTGGCTTAAGCGTCCGGCAATTCGTCGTTGCCAACGAACAGTTTTAAAAGTGGCCGCGCGTTGCAGTTTGTTGCTTCTCGCCACCGTCATTTTATCGATAAGGTATTGACTTTGTATTCACCCAATGAACCGTTTGTCCTTAGGTGCATGCAGTACTAGCGACATCATAGCACGACTTACTACTGCCTACTTAGTCTACCAATTATCGGGGGTACTCGTACAAAAGATGTACGCACGGAATGTCTCGTGCCGACTTAGACACAGCTGCGGAACAACGGGCTGGACCGAATAAATTGTCCACTCGTTTCGTCTGGTTGTCGGCGCCCGCTATGCTAAACTCGCGTTCTATCTAGGGCTGTCAGTTAGGCTAAAGTCTGTCTTGATGATCGGCTGTCTTTGTGACTGCTGCCTCGACCATTGTCCTGATTTATAATTACGTATCGAGTTACGTACTTGCTTTTTGATACTTCTTGCCCTGCGCTGTAGCTGCCTTTAAATTAGATAATTCACTATCAAATCCGTTTCCATTGATCAACTGGTCCCGACGCGCTTAATTTTCGAATTCAAAAGGGATGCTTGACGGCAGCACCGTCTGCAATTCCGTTTGAAAAATAGGAGCGTATACTTGCAGTTCAACTCCAAGACCCTTTAACGCACAGGACATAGTTTGTGTGTAAGTCATCAAGCATCGAAGATGTTTGCCATCCTTTCCGAAACGAGCAGCTAGGACTCGTTTTCTTTCAAACTTAATTAGCTCGTTATCATTTAATTTGTTAAGTGCAACACTATAACCCGCAACTCTGCGCCAGCCTTTGGAAGCACCGCTCCATCAAGGCGATTAGTTTGGCTATATCAGAAGCTGTCAACCGCTACACGACCCATGCGTTGAACTTGGATTGGAACAAACGAAGGAACCTCTGCTTTCGAGCGAATGGTAAGCTGGATAGGCATGGATGAGCCTGTATGCAACACGCGTCCAATCCAGCATGGCTGACGATTCGTAGTTCAGTATGACGATTTCCGTTGCTTTGGGGAGAGCCCTCGGAGATTTGTTACACAGACAGCTATGCGAGGTTCTCACGATGTTACATTTGTTTCTTGTTGGATGTTGTGCAAGCGATCGGATAATTATGTTACTGTTGCTGTTTAAGGTTTTTAATCTTTTAGCTTTTAGTTTAAATCTTTTAGCCGGGACACCATAACAGTTACCGGCAAGTCTTGTACAGAATCGTTTACTTTCAATAAACGCAAACCGAATGTAATCGGTTTCAGAAGTATCTACTATTGAGATAGGCCTCACACAGATGCCTCATTACACAATTAGTGTTCTTATCCGAACGAGACGACAAAGGAACAGCCATTATGTCAGAGCTCAGCGCCCTTCGTTGAGGGCGTAGCGCTAGCAGTATTGAACAAAAACAGTTTGTGGCCACAGTTTATTAAAAGCGCTATAAAAACAGCCCACAAGGTAGGGACTGCGACAGAAGAGCGGGGTACGGTATACTGAAAACTGGGTTTGGAAGTCAGCTTTTGGGTTAGATAAAGTCTCAGAGGTGGCGTGCATAGGCCGGGCTTAACCTCACATAGTATAGTATATTTCAAATAGCAGCATACATGCAGTGTGAACATAGTGGAAGTATTGAATAATTGTTAAGCAACGTTACTGCGACAGGATTAGCATATAAGCGTAACATAGTGGAACAGCTTAATTTGAACGATCGTAGTGGGGGGATCACTGAGACAAGGCGGAAAGTCTACCTATTGACCAAAGTAGAATAACTGCAGTTGAATTAATCGAGAAATCACTAGATCTATTTCGAAATTTGAGAAATGGAATAATTGAAATGGTAAAGCAGCAACTTGAACGAACCAATTGACTAATGTGGTAATGGTGGTGTGTAATTTAACTATTATCTATAATAGATTGGATATGTTTATGTCAACAGGCTGACGAGATAACTCCGGCAAGACAGCAGGGATGTTTTTGTTATTCTAAATGAGAATGGGGATCTCAGTTATATCTTGAGATACGTAATATCGAATCACGGATTTTTTACAAGGAAAAAAATGCCATCACCGGGACAGGAAAAAAAAGTAAGTTAGCTCAGTACTGCAACGAGATTACAGAAGCATTTTATTTATTTAAATATTGGGATTACTGCAAGAGCGACACAACTCTGGTGCAAGAGAGGCTAAAAACAATTTCTGCGAAATGCATTTAATTGTATCGGTATGCTTACATGTTACCTCGTCAATAAACAGGTTGAAATCAACAAATCGAAAAGGATTACAAAAAAAAAGTATCAAGATAATTTCGTATGTACATAATAAATAGCCCCTTTACGGCACAGAGTTTTTTTTACAAAAAAATTGAATTCTTGTTTAAATAAAAACCATCGCCTGAAGGAAACGGTACTAGCCGTTAAAGCTGAAAAGTATGAGAACTATTATTGACAATATTTTAGCTAAGATTACGCCCACTGTGAGAGAATTTTACAAAGTGCACCATGGATTGCGCAATAGTGTACCATGTTCTTCAGCTTTCCCTGATTTAAAATTATGCTTATAATCATTACCGAATCACGTTAATTGAGCGACCGTATTATCAACAAAATTTGAATAAGCAAAAAAAATATTAATTAGTTAGAAGTTTTTTTTTAATTCATGGGAGAATCTCGTGAGCGCATTTACAGTTTGCGAGCATTTTTCAGCGACGTCCTTTTAGAGGACAAACGTTATTGAAAACTGGAACGATCGAAGAGGAGTGGTTCCTGAAGGCGCCATAACATTCTAATAATGCTATCTGTATAATGCTAAAACTTGATCTTGGATCATAGGACTGGAAAAACAATAGTCCAAAAAACAATTGTCGGGCGCTTTCGTGCGATGGGAACTTAACCTCGTTTTGTAGGTGGCAATAGGACTAGCCTAACTGGCAAGCAATCCGTCGTTCTTTCTTTCGAACAAGGACAGAGCGAAAGGTGGTATTAAAGAAACTTGATCAGTTACAGGACGAGAGGTGCTACAACAGAAAATTACTCATTGACGGGGAGTATTCTGTACACGAATGAATCAACCGTAGAACGAAACTACCTTAAGGTCAATGTGTCATCGGGGGGCTGCGGAGGAACAAGACTGTCGTATGGCTTCACGCCAAGGGAAGTTCCCTTGGTGTGGAGTGGAATGAGCTCCTCCTGAATAAGTGGAAGATTAATGAGAAGGTGCGAAGTCATCAAAATGGAGCCACTATAGATTTCAGCTTGTGTCATTGACAAGGCTTCATGTGTACCCAAAGTTCTTAAAATAATACTTTTAAAGCAACTGCTCAAGGTCTTGTAAAATAAAGAAGTGACATGTCAGCCTATGACAACTTCGGCTCGCACTAGACAACGTTTTAAGTGTCACAAATGATTTTGACGCGGCTAGGGTTAAAAACAGGCAGGTCCTCGCACTTTTTTTAACCTGAAGAAGCGTAAAATTCCTTAGACCATCTTGCCTTGAGAATAATATTGGTTGAGCTCTTAAATATATACATATATAACATATATATAATTAATAGGTTCCACAAATGTATAACAACGTATTTTTATGATCGCAAATTAAGTTAGAAATGTGGTGGAGCGCAAAGCAAATGAGTGGGTTGATAATGAAGAGTTTCTTTGGAAGAAGTGTCGTTCCCAGTCCTGTTGGTGATGTCTATTGCAGGTGTGGGCAAAGCAACGATATGAAGTCTTAGGCTTTCACAAAACCCTAATGATGAAGCACTGTAGAAAAAACTAGCTGGGAGGAATAACCGTTTTGCACGGAGCATTAATGTCCATAGTTGAGAAATTAGTAGAATAAGGTGTGAAGGTAAAGCCGCACAAAAGGAAGTTCCATATAAAGTAAGGCTAGAAGGTCAACCTTAGTATCTAGAGATTAGCAATGCATGGACCGAATCAACAATTTTTTTTCGTGTTTCGATTAAATATAACGGAATACAATACCGTGTAATCGGGACGCGAGACGCTACTTTTGTTTATTTACTATCTGCGAAACCACATGCAAAATATCACCTTGTATTACTGTATGTACAACAGAGCCATGTTGTTATGCCTCTGTTGTATTGTATTGTAAATTGATTACGAATTTGCGAGAAATTTAACAGGTAAGAATTGTGTATCTTGATGTAGCGGGATAGCTTTAGGCCTAAGTTGTCATTATTATGAACTCAGTTTTTAGTTAGCTTGTTGCCATGTCTGCTAAAGTACGTAGAAAGCGCCGACTGACAAGGCACCTTAACTGACTAAATCGATTCAACTACAAAGCGTTAAAGCAACTGTATGGGGTTGTCGAAAAACTCAATAAGCTCCCAGAGTGTCACTTCTGGCAAACTACTAAGAGCTACCCATGAATCTGACACACGCAGAAACTGACGCATACCGCTTAAACGATGGCTGAAGTAGTATAATGGCTAGAACCAAAAGTTTGACAGCTGCAGAACTAACTGCCACCTAGAAAGTTTTGCTGACAATCGATTGCTCAATTTCAATTGATGACCCCCTCGAGCTAAAGGCGATAGTATTTTCTAAATTGACTAAACATAAATCTATGAGATGAGCTAACAACTAACAGAGACAGCAATGCGGCCTTGGCCCAAGGAGAGACCTTGGCGGTAATAAAGGTGTGTACACGTAAACATGTTCGCTTTTTGGCGGTTCGTGAAAAAGGGCAACTATGGTCCATTGATTAAAAAACTAAAATCAGCAAATTATATGCAATGTATAGAATAACGGTGCCGGAGATGTGTAGTTTAGTGAGTACAAAATTATATCAGCGAATGCGGCTTTCTCGCGAACGTAAACTGACATTGTAATTATTACGTGAACACGAATAGCTAGTCCAGATTGACGAGTACTTTCCCGTTTTACATTGATTTGGCCATCGCTTCGCTGCTGTTATTGAGACAGCATAAAGGTAGACTAGATCGCTAAGAAAACACGAATGAAAGTCATAACTGTAGTGGTCTAAGGCTTGGACTGAAATATACAGAGTTTCTAGTTAAGCTTGTCAAGCAAAATAACAATTGCAACAAAGAAAAAAACGTGACGGAGAGATAGAAATCTATAAAAGTGCAAGTATATATGATGAGCTAGCTATAAAAGTAAAGGAAGTGTAAGATCTTCTAGTGTGAGATCTTTTGAATGTATTAAGAGTTAAAAGAACAGACGGTATCGTTTCAAGCAAGATATGAGATTATCCATTTTTAATTTCGAATCGTTCTTAATACTTTACTGAGTGATTACAAGTTACCGTATTTAAAAACTCAACGGAATTACCGTATGATATTTCTAAATTAAAGTATAGGAAAATATGCAGAACAGCTGTTTATATAGGCGCTAAAAGTGTAGAATTTTAACCAAGTTTCAGAAACAATATTATTTTATATATATATAGAAAAACTACTATATAGAGTGCCTCTCTTACGTGCGGTAACACATTAAATATACTAAATCTATGTTACACATGACCAATGTATACATTACAATTATTACATCGAATGTGAAATACGTCTGGCTCAATATTAGCCTGTTTGTACTATAAAATATTTAAGCAAAGGGAACATTTGCAACAATCTCCAATCTGACACTGTTTTTAACATTATATGTTAATGTATACTTCCGTGGCACGAGGCCTATTTACCTGTACTTTAAAAAATCAACTTGAATTATACGAACGCTATCTAGCAGTCCTAGATATATATCGCTTATTATAAGTTCAACGTATATGTCCCGATGAGCGGGTTTGAAGTTAATACAAAATACTTTTTTTATATAAAAGGCCTATCGTAACGGAAAACATTCTAATTTTTATTTGGAGGCCGAAATCTAAACATGCATTAAGAATATCAATTTTCTAATCCAAATTGCTTTTTGTATTGTATGAAATTACACCCAATAAACGTGGGGGTTAGGAATACAGAACAAGCCTCACAACAAGACAATGCCGGACGATCGGCCGGAGGTATGACGTCGGTGGATGAATCGTACCATTTCAAGAATAACGGTAGCAAACGTGTGACGTTAAGCGGGGTGCCCCCATACACTCGCGTATCAATTGGTTTAGTACCTAATCCCGAGCATGAGCAAGGAGGCAAATATTGGATCTACATCGGAAGTACCTGTTGGACTGGTTCGAAAATCGGCAAACCATCTAAAGTACATATTCTTCCGGTAAGATTGTAAACCATAGATATATGCTCACAGAAATGCATCTAAGCGTTATGTAACTTTTACACAAATTTCAGTGTTTAGCTCTCTGGAATAAATCAATGTTATTCTCATTGAGCTTTATCACTCTTCGGATGCCTGACTACTGGATCTGAGACAGCTTGTGCACTTTCGTCTACGCAGAAAACGGATAAGAGCTGTACAAAGCCCATTTCCTGTTTACCATTTGTAGGTGACACAGCGCACTCATTTGCAAACACCAAACGCCGCTTATGTTAAACTGGAAAAATCCACAACATGACAAATGCTGTTCACGTATTTTTAAAGGATTGGACGAGGAGAAGAGATTTCTTCGAAACACATCAGAATCATAAATTTGCAATACCTCCACCAATTCTAAGAAGCTAGCTCGTCTTAAAATACAATGGATGTATCAGGGAGTCACATTAATTGATACTTTGGAATATAAAATCAATTCTTTATATCCTCTTGATTATTTTTCACAAAACATGTAAATAGATCGTTCATCGAGATACCGTTGTCCTGTGTGTCGGTGCATTAAGAACTTAACTTTCTATTCTGTCGAGGTTGTGAAAGCTTGCGTGCACCACGAGGTATTCCATTGATTACAAAGAAACAGTCGATAGTTTGTGTTAAATTTAGACTGACTTTTCCAGCGCTTCTTTTCACAAGATCATCGAATTTATTGCTCTTATAGAGAATTGTACCCATTTCTCGTTGTCGTGATTGCTGTCACTGCCTCTAATGTAGTCCAGGTCCTTGGAACAAGCACTCTACAATCACAGCATTCCCCTGATGACCTGTTGTCCGTCGTGGATGTCATTCTGAATTATTCGAGTACGCTTGGTGAACCAGCATATTCGCCGATCAATGAATTTCAGTTAAACGCTCTTAGAATTATGTTGGATTATATATCGAAATAAAATTTTTGAGTATAAATGAAACCTCACCACTCGGATAACACAGTTAAAACGAGCTAATTGTTATTATTAATATTTTAGTAAGAAGCCGTGATGTTCTATTTAACAGCTGCATTCAATTAATCTATTTACAGACTTCAGCGTTTACACATCCTCTTGTTGAATGGTCCGCGCCACTTAGCCCGAACGGACCAATTGACGGATATGATTTTAGCTGGTGCGTTATGCCAACTGAGGAAAAGGTGAAGAGATCTACTAGAGACGTATCCTTGACACAGAAATCGAAGAACAGCAACAGCAGCAGCGTTTCTATAGCAAGTGAACAAGGACAGTCAATTGGCCAGCATAATGCACAATATCAATCAGGCCAGAATGGGCAGGGAAGTCATTCCCGACGGACACAATCTGGTCAGGGGGGGCAGTCTTCGAAAGCAGGTCTTCGCCAGGGAACAATTAAAGGAAACAACAGCCACAGTGGGAACACGCACAATCAAAGTCCTTCGTTAAATGAAAGGGCGGTTTTGACCCGAGGTCAAGGTCAACAGGTTTCGCAATCCCCTCACAATAGTAGTCAAGGAAAAACAGACAAAGTTTCTGCGCTTAATATAGACAATAATTCAGGTGGTATGAAAACAACAATAATATCGACAGTTTCAAGTACGGTCACAACGGCTACCAGGGCCTTGCCGCCGCCGCCGACGACGACGACCCCAAAACCGGAGGCAAAATGCGCAACGAAGGATATTCCCGTTAACCCAGCCAATGTAGATGTATTTAAGGGGTATAAAGCGGTTATTGAAGACTACGATCCCACAGCTACATATCGTGTATGTATACGAGCTTACAATTGGAAGGGCACTGATAAGGTTCATTCGGATGAAGAATGTCATATGCGTTCCGAAAGAGCCCATTTCGAACGGGAGTATTTCGAAATGTGTCCACAGTGATTTATAAACGTTGCATTACTGTAAACTCGATCTATTCCACTCAGATCAGAGTGCCTAAAAAAATGTACTCAGTTGCAGCTGAGACTTAATTACTTTAAACGAATAAGCTGATTCATTTAGTTATGACAAACCTATTATGAATATCGAGAAGAGTATACGAAGTAAGCCTTCTACTTATTTGTAAAGACATAATTAAGAATAAAAGATTTGTTTTAACTCTGAGTTCGTTTTTTTCCAACTTTAAAGGCTATTTTTGTCCACTCTGGACTTATTCTTCGTATATTCCCCGTTATGTTGTTAGCTAATTTTCTGTAATACAGCATAACTGTTGTACTTAAATTGTCATGATTACCATCATTTAGCTTGCCTTAGCCAAAATAACGTTGTTGTTATTTGTTGTCGAGAGTTGATGTCAAAGTATATGCTCTTTAGACATTACATTGTGATCGCCTCTATTAACTTCCACTCAAGAAGTCATTAGGTAAAGCTTTCATTTGGTAAATATCTAAATCTTTCATTTTTGGCGCAGTCTGCATATATGGAATAATTCAGTACTTATACTTTAATCTCAAACGGGTACAATTTTTAAATGATTACCCGTTTGAGATTAACTTTTGCTTAGAGCCGATACTATACGATAATGAGTGATTGCATTCAACACCTAAACGAACTGAGAGTGAGAAGCCGTCGGAATTAAGCTTATTATTTCTTTACTTACTTTCACTTGTTACGTGTACGTTTCTCGCTTAATTTATATCATCTGGGTGGAGAAAGCTACTCACTCAGGAGTATCATGAGTAAGTTATCTCAATCCGTTGTTTCAAACAGTACCTGTATGCAAACAACCAATTTACTCTCGAAAAGCTTATAGCATTTCTTGTTGTCCATGAAGTAAAATTTATATACATAGTATTGTATTCAGATATCAGCCGTTTCATGCAGCTCTATTTTTTAAGGGAAAGTATGCTGAGATTTAGTAGATTGCAACGAAATTCTACCCTCTCTACAAACCCCTTGCTCACGTAATGAGATGTATTTAAAATGGGGTGCTGAGTAAAAGCGACTTATATTAGGTAGAAGGCCAATATGATTATTGTGAAATCATCTTCCACAAATTGATTGAATTGTTTTTGGGAAAAACAAGACTAGATATAAACGACTTGATACTTTTATCAATTACGGCGAAGTTTGTGAGTGTCTGTACTGCATAATAATTTTAAGTGAACTTGAAACTTTCTGCTACCGCAGTTTCCAGGAGAGCATATCGTATGTCACTACCATTGGTTTGCATACACATGAAGACAGATAATGCAAAGACAGAAAAGCAAGTGGCGACACAACTTTTAAGAGTGTCTCCACGTCATACAGGATTAATGGTAACAGCGAGCTTTGAACGCGATGCCTACTGCCAAGGTGGATGAAAGAACACCGCCTACAGAACGCTACCATAAAAATGGGACCGTAGCGATCTCACAGGCTACAAAGCGTCTAAGGAGCAATCGTGTGCATGAAAAGCCCGTTAGGATGAAAAAGGAGATCAACTACCCCGGGATTACTGTGGCTACGAGCAAAGCACATGTTAAATGTATGACTGGAAAACGTTAAGATACGCCTCCAATTTGACAGGGCTTATACCGTGAATAGGTGGCCTAAATAAAAGCACCAGACGCCTGCTAGCTGCTCTGGTGGTTTCACTTGTATGTTTGGTCCCAAGGCAATGCAGCACGAAGGAGCATGCAGCGTCGTACTGTAATCGCCACTAGGCGAGACTGTGACGAGCGACTTCAAAACAGTGTCCGAGGGAGCCCTGCTAATCCTTGACAGGATACAATTTTGAGATTACTTTGCATAGAGCTTGGTAATAATGGACAAAGTATTTGACAACACAGAATCGGGCGTTTGTGGAGCGATAAGGTCGTTAAGCTTTAAGTGGGAACAGATGAAAAGGTGGACGCGCTTTCCTTAGCCCTTCGAGTGATCTGACCAACCTTTTAAGAAGCGTATTTACCACGTGACACAAGTATTTACAGGTTGTGGTCAGTTCCAGCCCTAAATGGTCATACCATGTACTGCTTCAGACCGCGCAAAAAAAATCCTGCGAAAGGAAGCCAATTGAACATCTGTGAAGAATGTGATCGGACGCATGACCTAATCCGGAAAGGAGTAAAAAAAGACTTTTTAAAGGGATGATAAGACGGTAACAGGAAATCGACAAAGAGAGAATAAGTTCGTTGTGAATTTACCTGGAACCAGGCAGCCAGGTTGTCTGAGAAGAACGACTCATTTCCCCCTCGGGGTCCTCGAAGTTAGATGTGTAATAGTGCCAAGCCTCATAAAGAAGACGAGAAGTTGCGGTTTAGCGGGTATTAGCTTAGCTAGCAGCTAAGCTTTCATCTATCCCAGAAAAACTATTGAGTGAGTCGCACACTCAGGCCTTTTTTTATGTAATAACTCTGGGTGTACTGGTTATGCGTAAATGCATTCGGCCATATCTCTGAATTCTTTTAAGGGTAGACGATTTTTTGATCATAACGTTTACAAAAATTCAAAGGCTCCACGGCTGCAGAGTATAAACATTCTGCGCTCGAATATATCGTAGTGGTAATGCAACCTCCTATCATGTTGCAAACGCTTCGAAACAGCGTGTTGCAAAAAAAATATGTTTAGATTTTAATCAATTAAGCTGTTCTACCGCTATAAGTACGTTACATAAAATAAAAGAAGCATATAATAAGGTAGGTTTCTCGTTAATAATAACAATAATGTAGCTTTTTAAGTATTATTGTTTTAACTCACTTTTTTGCAGTCAAATTTCCCAGGAACGAAATTTCTACACTTTGATCGGAACAAGGTAGGTAGTATTTTCTTAGTAACTGAAAATCACTCCAGGTTTTGCGATACCGATTAATCTGATAGATACGGTGAGGTGGTACAGAGTAAAACCCAAAAAGGAAGGATCAGACCTTCAAAGACGCAAATAATAATAATCCTTACTCAATTTCACTAGCTTGTATTAACATTTTCTTCATATGGAAGCTTGAAATCTTTTACTCGAATACTGATAATTCTAGCATAATAATAATGACAAGTAATTCATCGTAATCTCGTCATAACTGTACCGCGTGAGGAGAAAATTTGAGTTAATGAACACAGCAGCTGGTTCCATGTTCGCGGACAAAACGATAGAGATCTATGACGCACTCATGGCATACAAGTACACCTTTATTAGTAGACAGGCAAGTAAATTAAAAAGCAGTTCAGACTTCCCGAAACCATGCGGCAAATCCATGAGAAAGTACGAAGGAAGATAATAGATATCATTCGAGATTTTTACTTGATGGGTTTGGAGTGAAAATGGTATGCAGAACATGTGGTTTCTGTTAAATGGTCTAGAATTGTGGCTGGGAAAACCAGTTACATTTTTCTTTATGTAATGCTTTTGCGACGTTTAGCAGACTATCTCTTTATCCGCTTGCTTGATCTAATTGAGCTTTTAGCGATCTTGTTTACAGGAAATTACTTCATCTATCTCCTCGTGCATGCTCTAAAAAATCAACATTTAGACTCAATCGACTGTTTAATCAAACCAACAGAGCAGGCAACATAGTGACGCTCGATTTTTATTTGAGGAAATATTTTCTCGTTTCTGCTGTAAAATATTTTTTTACATGTACGAGTTTCAGGAATTTGTTTTTTGTGACAGTCGCTTTCTGACTCCTTTCCAACGGGTTCTTTCAGTTAAAGTGTACCGTTTGTTTGGGGCGCTTCATAAGCTACAGGGATGCTACGCCCAACGCGTAAGGTAAGTATATCGAAGTGTATCTATGGCGCCAGAAATTGTAAAAAATTGAAAAAGAAAGTGGCTCACTTGTATCCAGGCAGTTAGGTTGTGTGAAATTAACTTGATGGATGTCAAAGGGTTGTTTTGCGTGTATGGCCTAAAGTAGTTCCTGTAGTTTGTAGCAAATCGTGTGAACGCAATCAAATTAATTTTACGGCTTATCAGAGGCTTAATTTTACGACAGTTCATTTTAGTACCTATTCAGTTGTTCCACATCGCTCGTATAAGCTAATCCGTGAAAGGTCGCTGAATCAAAATCTGTCATAGAAGGAACAGCTGAGAGAGTTGAGTTAGAAATAACAGAAAAGCGTGTCAACTGCTATTTATATGCGAGTGTATCCCGTATTCTCCCGAAATGATGGCATCACAGCATAGCTCGTTAACTTTCGATTCTAATTATTCACTGTTACACTTTATTATTCCCAAGAAAACACCGATTAGAATTTGGTGTTCTTAACGGTGTTATGTGTAAACGGTAAATTTCGCGTCACATCTTCCGCCTGTGTGACATAGAGGCTCGACCTTCATCTTAAGATCTACCGTACAGCGAGGCATACAAACTTCACCCTTTACCCAGTGCGGTTTTGTTTCAATACTGGTTAAATCATAAAAAGGGGACGTCTCTTTTCAAGCAACGCAACGGTGCCAAAATAATTATATTTTTTGTTGTTCTTCCGACTTTATCATTTTCTTAAAGTATTTCGTATTATCACCCCCTTTCTTCCCTTATTCGATATAGAGTTACTTGTTACTATTGATTTTTTGCGTCAAGTATAAGAATACACAATAACTGCAATGTATGTACGCAACTATTACGTAGAGTTTGTTTCCTGTCGACAAATTTGTTTAGAGACTTGATTCAATTACTACACTTTTCAAACTAAATGTTAGAAAACAATTCATATTTGAAAAATGCTTGTAGCAGGTTACCAGGTTAGGCGCAAGATACCTACGAAAAAGCGCCACCGTAAGTCTCTTCCTATATGTGTAGACAAGCGATAAAAGAGTAGATTTTCCAGTTTGTTACAATAGATCACTACAGTTCAGAATAACGTTTGTTTTTTGTAAAAATTTATTACCGAAACCGGGAGTCGAATGCAGTAGAACCACGCTAGTGTCGCACATACGAAAGACAATTGTCATTGATGAAGCTAAGGCTGAGGCGATTGATCAAAAACTTCTAAAAGATTGACGCATTCACAGATAAAGTGAGGCTAGGAAGGTTACAGACGAACGTACGAGTCGTAACATCGGTGTAGTGCGGAGCAGTGTGCATGTTGATCCAAAACTTCGACACGACGTCGTAATTAATAACTAGGCCTATCGATATAATTTGAAGCGAGTCCTTCTTAGGGTATTGGATGCGAGCAACTTTTGGTTTCAACAACATGGAGCAACTTACCACGCGGAAACAATGAATTTAAAACAATTTTCGCAGACCGACTAATCGAAATGCGTGACAGTGGTATCGAATGCCCGCTTAGGTCCTGCTGTTTGAGTTCGCCCAGTTTTTTCCTTTTTTTTTTAGGTCTACATGAAGGACAGTGTACATCAAGCAGCACTGAAAACAAACCACGGCCTATGTGAAGTGATTCAGCAAATCGATGTTGAACTGTGCAAAGCCGTGACTCTACATCTCTCGAAATGTACCGAGATATGAAAGTGGCTTCTGCGAGGACGTTTGACCCATACTATTTTTCACGTCTCATTCAAATTAAACCTCTGGGTTACGCTAACGTAGAAATAGGAACAAGCGGCAGAACCCGCTTTTGCTTTTACTTTTTGAGGCATTGAAATACAATAGTGCTTTTTAACGCAGCTTACACGTCTCCTCTAAGACTTCCAATGTATTCTCAAGGTCGGGGGTGTTTTGCTGAATAGTCTTTGTTTACGCTTATTTGTTTTTCATCCAGCCATCGGACTCTGTTATGTTCCTTTGGATAAGAGGGCTCGATTCTACAATTTTGATCGCTGTAATCGTGCCGGTTATTATGCATAAACTTTACCTCGTTCGTTTTGCGTTGACCGTCTTTATAGAGCTTTCATGAGCCTAGTCACTTTCTTAATAAATTCTCTCGCCTCATCCATAAAAGGCGCTGTTCTAAGCAAGTTAACAATTATTTACCTTTTAGCTCTTTCTAAACATGCGTAAGTTCCGACTCTCCTATTGGTTTATAACAAGCTACGAGCGTCTTACCTTTCTGGTGATTTTTTACGTACACAGCTGTTTATTTCTGCCATAGAACTTTTAGAAAGAATCCACGATTTCAGATCGTATCCTGCGATTTTGAAGATCCAAGGTTCCATTTAACATAGGATGTTTTTACCTGTAGAGTCGCTAATGATTTCCTGTAACAATCATTTGCAACGTAGTCGTTGGCGTGGAGTTTTACACGACTAAATTTTAATTTTAAACAGCAAGGAGTCATTAGCGAAAACTCCGCCATTTTTAGTACATTAAACTAATGTAGCGTTAATTATAGGATGATAAAATAAATCAACGACAACGTTTAAAATAATTTAAACAGCGGCAACTCCATGACATCGCATGACATTGGTATGGTTGTTAATCGTGTTTCTCTACGAACCCGCTGCTCGCACTTAATAGCTTGAATCGTCTGCTAGATCGTTTTTCCAATAAAAAATTTGACTGATTTACATTTACTTTATAGCGAATTGCTTAAGAACGACGGTGATGTTAACATTTTTGACCTCTTTCAGTTAACATTTATAAAAAGACGAGGCTAAAGACCTTTTTAGTGAAAAATCAAGAACGCGATAAAATCTTTAACAATCCTAGAACTAGCCGAGACACTCAGAACAAAAATAATAATTTTTATCATTCGGCAAGCGTAGCGGATTTACCTAAAAATGAATGCCGTAGTAACTGAACAAGCCAAGTTCAGCAAGCTTTTTTTGAAAAAAACACAAGGTGAAAATGCAACAACGATAGACAATATTTTTTGATAGTACATAAGAGGAATAGCATATAGAAACGTGTCAGCGATAAAGATAGTCGTGGAAGTAATCCATAGTAAACTTATAGTCCTCTATCGAAAACAAATGTGCGATATGGGCTCAATTAATGCTCTTTGTGGTAGGATTTAGTAAGCTGTGCTTAAAATGAGCGTAGCATTGGCCGTTCACGCCGAAAGTGGACTTGTGCTCGTCGTCCCCTATCCCTCGTAGAGGATCTGGTGCTGTAGTTGACCAGTTGTATTACCTAAGCTTCATGGCGCGAGCCATGAAGCTTAGGTAATACAATATAAAAATAAAGACATAGCACACAGTCGTTGTCGTATTCTAACAAAAAGATATCTGGCTCGCTTAGTTGGCCTAAAACATGTTTCGATCTTGACTAGGAATGTTTGTGAAAAGCAAGTAACTGGCATGCAAAGGTAGTGTGTATAAGTTCATTAGTAACGAGCTGCATAAAAATTATTTCCACGGGTGGGTCTCACAAACAGCGTTAAGATAAATATGCTACGTGCACAATGAATGTACAAGATCAACTTCTGCGATCTACAAAAAGCCGCGATAGATCAGTTACAGCAGACTTACTGGCAACACATGGTCCTATGTGTTTCCCTGAAGGTTCAACAAATATAACGCCGTTATCGTCAGTGATTTCAAATGCGCCTCACAAACCCTATCTGTCGTTGTTTCAGACTTCGTCCACCGTGCCAAAGTGCAAACCTCAAAGAGTAATTAATTCTATGCGCTAAATTCGGTATTTAATGGAAATAAATATGCTCGCCTTCAATGTCAGCCGCTGGAAGAACGAAACAATTAATGTGAGCACCAGCAAATTCGAAATGAGCAGGTCACCGTTCAAATACATAAAAGCAGATGAATAAGGAAAGTTGTTTGTAAGGCCCCCCCCCCCCTGCCAGGAGTATGGAAAAAAAAAGATAAACATTCATCCTTTACCTTCCGCTGAACGTTTTCCTAAAAGCACATTAAATAAAATCAACACGCAAGGAGACCCTGTGTGCGAAAGTTGTGACTTAGTTCGCATACTCGATAACTGTAATAAATTCGGATGTGTAGATAGAAGAAAAAAATAAGCACAGTCACCCATATAGGAGAGAATGTGATCTCATCTCTTATTATCTAAGTTGAAATACGGTTATAGGCAGCCATAGTCTTTTAGAATAAATATGACACAGAATTCGGGACTGAACTAATTCGAATGTTGAAGTTATGACACGAAATTTTGTTGTTCAAAATATACGTCAGGTCTGCAATGTCAGACCTGAACACCTTTGTTCTAAACATCTATTTGAAAAATGAAGTTAGAAAAGGCATCGGAAGATACGAGTGATTCGAATAACTTTTACATTGCATTTTTTTTGCTAGTGACAAAAAAGCCTTGAAAGTCACGTGAAGCCGCCAAGCTTTATTGCATTTAAATGCTAGACCGGAGAATCAAGCAGAAAAAACAAAGCTGTCATAATACTAAACGTCTAAGTTATCTAACTCAGACGCGTGATTTCAAATAACTTTTTTTACGTTACGGCACAACGTAGAGAGGACCAGCCTCTCTACGTTATGCCGTTGCTACAGGTTTATTGCAGGTAGAAAAATTCTTATTATACATTGGTTGTGTGCTTCAGGTCCAGTTTAATTCGTGCCTTACGAACACAGTACCGCGCGCCGTGGAAGCACTGTGCTTAACTTAACTGCTGTGATATTGGCAAATGTCGTAGTCGTGGAAAAGGAAAACCTCTCTACAATTAAAATGATACTGGCTTATTCAGCATAAGGTTGATTACCGATCATATTCTCATACCTGTAATCTCTAAAATAAATGAGCACAATACCCCTGTCGTGTTTGAAGGTTCAAAGTATTGGTTGTAAAAGGCCAGGCGTTCATTTAGGTAGCTAAAATATGGCCGCATCTGTCGAGGTAAATAACAACAAAGCACGTTGTCCATCAAGGTCTACCGATTAGTAGCCTTAAGCTAAATAAAGCTTGGCCTATTAAAAAATAATCATAAATAAAAATTATTACTTCGATGTAGCCGGACGATAGAGACGATAGGAGATGATAGTTCTAGGAGAGACGCTTACCATCTTGTGAACGCTGTAAATGACCTGTTAGATATAGATTTTTGTTAGATAAGTGGATCCGTCGTGCATGGGTGGTTTTGCAAGGGAATATATTTATCCGTCTACCGCATGTCCGTGGTAAGAGCAGCTTGAAGGGTCAATAATGCTTGTTATTTCGCAATAAGCTACTCAGGATCGACTTCCTTTCAATGATGACGCTAAATGAAGCGTCACGAATATCAACTGCTGCTAGATTAGTGTATTGTAACATTTTCAATACTGAAATCTCATTGCGCCTATATATTGTTTTCAAGCTAAACTAGGCCAATTTACTCGCCACAAAAATGTCTGCCTTATCCATTTTTATTTCAACTCGCTTGTGAAGAACACAGTAAAAGGAATGTGTATAAAAGGTGACTGCATAGGGTGCGTCGAAGGTTAGTCTCCTATTTCTTTCGGATCGGAAAACAAAGGTTCGAGGTTCTGTGCACGTCTTTACTCTCAGGTTAGCTTAGCCCCCGAGGCTTTATTTTGTGTTATTTGTGAAAAACAAGCTCAGCCAAACTTTTTCTCAGAAACCGCTCGATATGTTTTGCGTAGTTTTAAAAAATAATTCAGAATTAATTTTGTTTTTGGTGCCGTTTAATCTATATTGTCCTTCACATAGTTCCACAGGAAAAACTTGCTTATTGATTGAAGTTGTAGGAGAGTATGTATATTACTCCACATTACAGTCCGGATGAATTGGCTTTAGTTTATTTACTAATGAGCCCTTTTATTCAAATTTCTTCGTCAGTCGCCTCAGTGTTACTTCCGTCAACGGGAAAGTTCTGTGCGACGCTTGCGAAGTATAACTGTAGTAGACTTCCTATTACGATAATTTTTACAACAAACTAAAACTATTCAGCATTCCGTCATTTCTATACGCAAACGCTACATGTTTATCGCTAGTCCAACAGACATGGGGGAGATGAACAAGGCAGAACGCAGACATTTGGTACTCTCTATAGAAACAGCTTCCTATTTTATATTTAAACCTATGTAAAAAGTAAGTAAATAAAAACTGCCAGTAGCCGGCCGGACGTCTTCTAGTAGTATCGATTTTTTTAGCTATTTCGTTTTTTAGATATTGATGAAAACTCTGATTTTTTTCACCGCATGTCTTATTGCTTAGATCGCCTAATTTCAAAAGAAAATACTTATTCCCAAAATTCGCGGGCAGAAGATATTTCAGTTTCTTAACCATAATTACCACAAAGTATATTGGAGCTTTTAATAAAGCTATGTTTAGTAGCTTTTCGAAGCGATGTTTGAATAAGCGTTGGAAAGTTAAATGGAAAATCGTTGGTGCTGTTCTCCTGGAATAGGTGATACATGGTCCAAGTTGGTTACTTTGGCAACGATAGATGATCAACAGGCGCGCGTTATACTGCATCGTTAGTTCGCCTTCAATGCTTTCCTCTGAAAGGGGATATTGATTTGAAGATTCGGCCTTAAACTATACAAAGCATCCATCACTGTTCAAACTAAACTCAAAGTTCCAACAGTTCTATTAAAGACAGTCGTTTTAAAACCGTCGACTTGTTTGCAGTTGTATTTGATTATCAAGTGATGTCACCAAAGCCGTTTAATATTCATTGAAAATTTTATGGTAGCTTATGGGCACATGCTATACATATGCGCATTGGCACCTATATGACCACCATAGACGCAATATAGGAAGGCGTAAATGCATTTGTCCGAAGATGTTAACTGGATATGAAGACCGGTCGAAATACCTTGTGAATAAGCGTAGTCAAAATGCCGCATTTGTGGTGTACCTGGCCATGTACCGTTGTTTACATTTGTTCCAGTTCTGGTTGGGTAGAATACAGTTGGCGTATGATACACCAGATTAGTATATCTAAGTATCTACTGAGTGAAATAGGTACTATTTTGAAATTTAGTGAGTCGTAATTTTCGAAATCTAGTTAGAACGGAAACATTTTAGTACCTATAGATTGAGTAGATCGTAATGAGTAGTCCCTTTGACTACCCTCTACCAAACTTCTTATACAGGCAGATCACACATCTTTACATTAAAATAATATTTGTTATTCTAAACATTTTCGTATACGTTTGCGAAATGTTTATGAGGATGTTTACGGATGTTGTTGTTATTCTAGCGGTTAGCTGCATGGCAAACGCAGCAAGATCACTTATGGTAAGCTGTATATTCCATGCTTTACCTTCATTCTCCGTGGTAAAATTGGATATTCTTGCAACATTGGCAAATATAACATTCTGGGATAGAATATGATATTAAGGTGTATTTATGGATTGAACAAGTTTGTCAAACTTGTCTCTCTCTTCTCTGTCACTCAAATGCAATAAATTGTTGTGTTTTAGTGTTCTATTTTTACCTAGGTGCTGTTAAGGCTACTTTAAGACAAAAACAGTTCAGGCATTGGTTTTTAGTCGACTTTGCCGACGCATGAGGCAAGTCAACGTCAGATATTGTAGATCGATTGCATAGGACGTTCTATATCCTATACATGAAAATAGGAATTTTGTTTTCACAAATTGGCATAAAAGACCTAATTTATTTAGGTCTTCAATGCAAGTCAATTTAGGGGGTATTTATGCGCCTTTGGAATCTATACTCGAAAGAAATGTAACGATAAATAAAGAAAACGACAAAAGTTCATTAGCTCTTTTCCTAGAATGTTGTAGGTGTCGTGTAAATAATAAGGCTTACTAGATTTTTCGCTAGAGATTTCTCTTTTTCAGGCGTTATAGCCGCAAGGAGTTCTATCGAAATGTTTTTTTCTAGTATTTGTTTCTTAAATTTGCTTTTTCGAAGGCGCGCGCTGTCAACTTCGTATAGATCGAAAACGTTGCTCGTGAATTTACTGTGTGAGGCCACGCCGTTCGAATTTAAATAGCTTATGGCGGTCAGCGGCAAACTAGCTGCAAAAGCTTGGGTTGTCTCCCCAATTTGTCTCTTTGAATTGTTAAGGGTAAACCAGGTCAAAATGACAAACCCCCTAAAGGGATCTCATTTATATTTGGTAAACCATGATTTTTTCATGCATTGCTTGGATATAGGTAGCCTACCCCGAGCTTCTATTAGGACGTGGTGTTGGGGTTATCGCTGCGCCGTTCTTGCGAATAATAATACTATACAATATTCTAAGTAGAATAATGATATAACGAAGAAGCAAGACACAAATTGCATCCAATTTCACAATGAAAACACGAGAAAAATAGTCTTTTCTCCGCGCAGATTACAGAGGTTTTCACGAATATATTAGCAACTTCCTACGCAACTGTGTTAGTAGAATGGTATTCGTTAACGACTTGCTATAAAACTGCATTCAAAGTGCCCCGGTATTATTGTCACGTTATAAACAAATGCCCAATGTATAACGAGCTTTGTATTTACTTCTTGTGTTCTATAGCTAGCAGGGTGGAAAGATGACCTCCGCCTTGGTCGGGCGGTCTATTGCCTGACCCCGTATCACTCCTCAGTTTAACATTGGCGTACGAGCTAGGTGACAAAACGTTTTTAATCGCAGCGATTCTTGCAATCCAATGTTTGCACATTAGTATTTTGCTTGACTGCACTTCTGCTCTCGTTATCATGACCATTTTTCCTCGTGTTGGCCTCGGGTTTGCCGCCAATGCTATTCCGACCGTCTACACGAGCTATGTATACATTGGTAAGCTAACCATAAATGATAAATTATATGAGGAGAGTTGTTCTCGTCAAGCTGCAAAGTTTGCTGAGAACCTGCCAAAATACCACTGGACAATATAAACCAGTCAAGAAGACATGTAATAAAGTACAGATCAACTATTCCACATCAGCCTTAAAACTGCTCAAAAATTATAGTAGCTTGGGCTAGTACTTCTTCAATACTGCTTAATAAAGTCCTACACATTGCGTGTTACAGTTTTATCAGGAATCAGGATTTTTTTTATAATATTAGATTTTAGACGGCATGCAGAATACTCATGAATAGTAGAATGGATACATTGTTTAAATAAGGGTAAACTTGCAATATTCGCTAATGTTGTCTGTATAGCTCAACGAATTGCATTAGCTAGTAGCGCAAACCAATAAGCCCACTCTTTTGCAATGAATAAAAGTTTTTTCTTTTATAATCGATATCGCTGTTTATATGAACATACGTTTGTATTGAACATCATTTTTATCAGTAGCTACCTTACAGCTGCAGACGTGCCTATAGGTGCCGCATGAGACTTTTCTGTAAATCTAATGCATACTGTTATGATTCTAAAAAGCTGAATTAAAAATAGGCATCCGACTAGAATTATGGTGTTGTAGTAAAGTATGTCTCCAGGCCTTTTTGTGTCTTCCCTGAGGAGTATCGTGAAATTGAGAAGACGTTACCCGACAAAACACTCTATGAAGATACTCTTTTCAGCAGAATATTGTGGCAGGCCCTTACAATGACCTTTCTTGCAGAATGGGTAAGCACTAGATAATCGATAAGGTGTATCAGCAAACGAAATGACTAGTGATGTAGTACATTTATGATTTAACGGTCTCATACTTAGTTTTCGATGTGTGTCGCGTTTCTTGCTCTATTTTAAAGTAATCGTAACTTATGTAAGCTGTTGTGCATGTATATGTATGTGTGCCTTCATTTGAACGTAAACTATTCTTATAATGAGCAAAAATATGGTTACTCGTCACATATTAGTGGTGGCCAGGTGATGGAGTACTAGCGGATGTTGACGACAAAGAATCTGGGCTCTCAGTGGGTAGCTGCATTAACGTCTATTGAGCATGGCGTATAGTTAGCTAAACATCGATTTCAAGATGTTACTGGCAATTCTGTGCTCTCATAGGAATTTAAAGATGTGGTTCTATGAGTCCCTTCTTCAAGCCACGGATTGAGATCAAAACATGGGATAAACTTAGATGAAATATTTACTTGTTAAAAACAACACAGTGGCACCGTGTATGAGTGGCAGCGCATACTGAACGCGTAAAAGAACTGACCTGAAAGCTTCCATAATGACGATGAATTTAAATTGAAACCACTATGATCTACCCGTACGGGACAACTAAATGCACGCTCCAGGTCTCCATATTTTCTGTATCGTGACTAAGGTTGCGTCAGGTCAACTCCACTGATTTCCGAGCCGACTGTTTTTTGATTTCGTTTTCGAATTAACTAACCGTCTTCCTGCGCCACATAAATCACGCAAGGCATCTTACCGAAACAATCAACAACATTTAGGTATATCCGAAATTGCCAATTTTTATAACGGTTGCAACTTTTTAAATCATAAAATAAGTTTAAAAAGGCTTTAGTAAAGTGCCGAAGCTAAGCTACAGGTGAGGAGAATGAGCCCTATTACAACGAAAGTATAAAAACGTAAGTTAAAGAAGCTAACCTACAGTTGACTGTCTACGCGATTGACCCATCATAATATAGGCACTCAGCTCTCTATATGATCACCAGATCACCGTCTGAGAACTGCAGTTTAATAAAAAAAAAGTATATGTATATTTTTATCATATAGAATTATGTTAATTGAAAAAAATAAAAAAATGTTCTTTGATATTTCAGATGACCGGTCGCAAATATCAACGATAATTTCTTATGCTCCCTTTTGGCAGTTCTGGCGGCTCAGAAAGCTTCCGTGAAGACAGTTACGTATGGTAATATTTTCCATCTATGCTATAGTCGTCATGAAGGTATACTGATTCCATCTAATCGAAACCTAGAATTTGATAAAAATCATAAAACATCTACGTTAATGATCTTGAACTAGAAATCAGTTAAACGCAAACGCGTTTTTTTGTATTGTGCAAATAAAACGTGTGCTAGGTTGTCGTTGCTTTCCATAATAGGGAAAATAGCTCTACATACACTACAGAGCAAGACTGGACATGGAGAAATCACCTAAAATTTATTGAGCTGACCCAACACTAGTATATAGTAATAAAGATATTGTTAATAAAATATTTACCTAATATACTTTTATGAAGCTGCGTAGCATCCATCAATCAGCATACTGAATTCTAATTCTACACTCAACCACAATTTTTCCGTTTGCTCAGATTTAATTAAGGCCGATAGTTATCTGCAAACTTAAAAAGCCCGCAGTGTACGAGGTACAAGGAAGGAGGTCCTTTTTGTTTGAGACTACTTGCACCTGGAATGAATGATTCGACCAATTAGGGTTATATGACATTGACGAGGACCTGTCAAAACCTTTTTAAATAAATACAGCAGTTAAATAACTCGTAAACCGTTTCGAAAGGATAAACCGCTGTCATAGAAAAGCATCTTGAACTTACTCAAAAATTAAAAGTCCCAGTTTTCCATAGAACAAGTGAAAAGCTCAGGGGAAATTCGTTATGGACGACCTGTACAAACTATACTGAAAAGATTATTTCGTACCTACCATACTTCGTAGTCCTCGTCCCGACGAGTTACCACCTTTTTCCGATCATTGGCGAATCATTTCGTAACTGACTTGAAAACTCAATCGGCCAACTCTTCCAATGAACAGGATTGAAATGGTTGAAAGATGGTAGAGTAACACGGCGTATAGATAATAAATTGATCTGCTGTTAAAGTTTAAGTGGCGAGCTACATTTTCGCTAGGTTAAAAACAGTCATATTGTAACCTCATATTTTAAAAACAGTCGGGCTTTCGGAAGAGGTGTAGGTGCATCATTTGCCAGCAAGCTCAACGCATATCGTAACTGTCGTATTTTCTAGGTACGAACGTTTTCGAGACCTCAACATCAAATTTTTTATCCTTCTAATCCCTCCGAAGTCAGCTTTATTAGGCACATCTTTCCATTTAAACCCAAAGATGCTCCAAAAATTTTTTCGTTTAGTATTTTCCAACTACTCTGAGGCTTCTGGCGTTTGTGATTAGTGTTTATAATTTTAATAACTCATTCTTTGACCATTATGGACTCGCCATCTAGCCGTGCTATAATTACTTTTGTAATATTTCTTGGAAAAGTAAAGCAAGTGTTTTTCTAAAGAGAAACGTGAAAAAGTTTGATACTTTTCAAAAATTCGAATTATATCGAAAATATACGAGAAGTTTATAAGAAAGCATGGATTTTATACAGGAGGATATATTTTGTAGATTAAATTATGATTTGTCCATCCGGAGTGTTTAATCAATTTAACCAAAATCATTTAATAGTCAAAGTTGTTCTATTTAACTAAGTCCAGCCGATTACACCATACGCAATCAAGGTTTACAAAATGCTAGCATAATTAATTCAACAAGGCATATACTACTTTTGCTGTCGTCGTTAGTCACGACTTTATTAAAAACAAAGTTATTTACATGGTTAGGTTATATATACAGACCGCTCTCTTAATCGTTTCTTACTATTTTTATTGTGTTTAATAATATATTGTTTTTGCTGAACTAACGAAAGAATCGGCACCGAGCAATTTTGATTTCTCTTGTTGGACCATTCAATAACCTCTGACAAATTTGTCCACCAATGATCCAGAATGCACTCCGCAAGACTAGGTGCTTGACTTTGCCAGGTGAACTATACTTAAGCTATATCACCTCATCACCACTGTCAGACATTGACGAACGAATAAACAGATCATTTACGTTACTTTATGACAAATGATATCACCATTTTTTGTAATACAACGGCTCCCATCGCGCGCCATCTCTCCTCATAGTTGCAACTACAACATTCAGACATGCGCATAGCGGAAACTAACAGCTGGCCACAGGAGACGGTCACCGTGCAACCTTTTCATTATTCCGTTCAGGTTTTTCCTGACTATTTATTCTTCCTTAAAATGTTAACTTTACATTTAATCTCAACTTTGTTCCTCTGCTTTTTGCTCTTACGTAAAGTCTTCGACACAATAACAGCTTACCTTCTTTCTTATACAGAAATAGTTTAACTTACAACAACTAGTTCGTATATCAATTTGGTTTTGTTTGTAGACTACTTTCGATGTTTTACCCATCCTTTTGCGGACATAGATGCTCATGTCTCCATCACTGTACATTCGCAACAAGGCTTAATACCAGGCTTCTTTACATCTCGGATCCAGTCGAATGTAATGAGAACGACAGTGCACTATTGCAGTGCAGGGTCGGTTTAGATTCCTACTAGCCAAAGACGACGGCCTTAAGTGATCGGTAGAGATAGAGATGAAACATCGAGGACAAGATCCAGCAGACATGGATAAATAACACGTATACATGACTGAGCTCAACCGGCCTGGGCCTTTCGGCTCTCGTCAGAGGAGAAAATTGTTCGCGACGATTAGGATCTACGGCAGGTCTGGGTGCAACCACTTCCCGTTCCATAGGTAAATTATCTCGACTTTCATCGACGAGAATAGCGTGACGCGCACCTTCAATGGAACGCTCCGATAGACTGTGACTGCTACTTAAGGGAATACCTGTACTGCACTCGTCCTCTGCATGCGCGCTTGGAAAGCTTCCGTGTTCATAAAAGTGTTTCAATAGCTGTTCCTTCTCCACCCAGCGTTCATACATCCAGGCAATCAAGGCATCACCATCGCCGAAGGGCACATCTTTCACTGCGTACTTCCTGCAAGTATGGAGCCATTATCAGTTCCAAAATATGTAAGATCTGCTTCACTTTAAAATAAAATCATCACTTGATCTGGCTGTATATACATGTACATGCATACAGCCTAATATAGGCGCTCAAAATGAAATTAACAACTCTTTTTTTGTTAGCATATAAAGTATAATCACGCAACTCTGTAATAAACAACGTTGTCTTGAAAATCGATTTTCAAACTTGAATTTAAATCAAATCGTAGCTTCGGAAAAAAAGTTATACAAAAAATACATTGATATCACATTTGAAGTATTAGTTACTGTGGCTAAGCACAAATGATATATCTGAAATCGTAAAACTAGTCTAAGCCTCAAAATTACCATCGAGTCATTAACCCGTTTGCTGTCAAGCGCATCTAATCTTTATTACAAAATTGTCTTATTTGGCTAAGTTTATTTACTTATCCGCCGATTAATATAAGAACATATGCCATCGACTGCATTAGATAAGCCAACACGTATACAGTAAAGCCCCTTTATTTATTATATATATATAGTAACCTGTAAGTGAAAACCAACTGAGCTCACTTCAAGAAGTTCAGATAAACACATATTTTAATTTCGAAAATCAACGCTCCGAGGTCAGGTTTTTCTTCCTTGCACCCAAAATTGGGGCCCCAAGAAGGGGCTTTAGGCGAACGCTCAGTACATAAACAATGCAAACGTTTCAAGAACAGAAAGAGTACTGAAGACCAGCGAGGAGGTAATCAGATGTCGGAACCCAAAGGACAAGAAGTAATAGCCGCGATCGAGGAGGTTTTTTACGACAGTAGCTTTCGGGCCAAAGCTGGCATTTCATCTGTAATGTGTGATCGAATTATAATTCAAATACTGAATATGCGGAACCTGTAAAAAATGAATCCTCCGTTAGTTGTCTCTAGCCAATTGGAAATGCATGTGGTATGCGCACAATTGGGGAACTTAATAACAAACCCTTCTGGAGCATACGGTCGCCATAAATGAGGCATGCTTCAATTTTACCTCAAGCGAGAGACAAGTATCAAGGCTTTGGAGAGAAATCGAGTTCGATGGCAGTTTCGAATAGGCTTGGAGTAGGTGTATAGTAGTACTTGCAATGAATATCAGGAGAGTCTGCTACTATGAGGTACTTGCCGAAACTGGATAATTAATACAGCATGATATCTTGAGTTCCTTAAAAGATTAAGGACCGCTGGCACCGAAATCGGAAGCACTGGCTACTTGATGACGACGCTAAACTACATCGCCGTGCCTAAATTACTTCTTGGATTGAGCAATACTCAACGTTTGGCTTCAACTCGCTTGTTCTGTCGAGCTAAGTTCGTCGGATTACGAGGTTTTCCGTCCCCCAAAGCGAGCAAATTTCTGGGCAACTATACCCCACTATTGATTTACTTCGAGAAGCCATAGACAGAGAAACTAGGTATGAGGCCGCCAATGGTTCTTATATGGCTGTCAGAGCGGCGCGTCAGACATGCATGATGTAAAGCAGAGTATTTCTAATACATATGAAACAATCATCATGCTAGCTTGACTAGTTTAAAAGCTATTCAGTTTCATAGTTCGCCGGATTCATTTGTAGCGGCCTAGTATTTTTGATCGACCAACAGAGATCGATACATAAAATTACTATCGATTTTAAACTTGAATTCGCCTAGATGCATACGAGTTCCTGCTTACTTGTATTTCGATCATCTAGGTAAATAGTTATACTACACAAATATACTACCGAGTTCGTGGTACAAGCCTAGAGCATAAGAATGTGAAAAGCTGTATCTCACCGATAATGAAAATGTACAATGTGTGGCTTTCGGTAACCGGTGGCGATTGCGAGGATATCAAGCGGTCGCGCTGGGGCTCCAGGGTATCCGATAGTTAGATCAAGAAGGTATTCAACTGCTGGCTGTCCTTTTAAAACGTCTGGGTCCGTCAATGTCTCCAACGCTAGCTGATAAGTGATACACAAACACGTATAATATAAAAAAAAATACAGCTTAGGCAAATTCAGCTATAGCAAATGCTTTTAGGGCTAAGTGGTGTAATGTGCATGTAAACAAATTAGATACATTTTTATACAGTGACGCACATTCTGAAAGCTCCTTAACCCGTAGTTGATTCCATTGAACATTTTCTTTTCAATTTTTCGTGCTGCATAATAAATTCCATAGTAGTTATTATCAGTTCCGCATATTGTACACGGATAAGGCAAATTTCAGTTGAAAGCCGACCACCAATATTAAAAAAATGACTTCATGCTGAGGTAACGTCAAATTTGATATTGTGTTAGCATCCGTAAAAGCGAAAGCCTTAGCTTTCAATAATATAGGATGTACCAGGTAAGTATGGATCAATTTCAATTCAATTTTTTCATTTAATGGAGTATTTAACTTGTAGACAAAGGCGGTTCTGTGTGTATTAAACCAACATAATCGATCTTGGTAAGAATTTTTACATGAAGTTGCATCTGGTACTCGAAAAATAAAATTTAGTTAGTAGGTTTACTTGCTTTTCTGCAATCAAATGCTGGCCATTACTAGCACTCAAAATAGCAAAGTAGTAGGACGCTGCGAGGTAAAATGACTTATTCCCATTGCAGCCACGTCATAGATTAATAATAGGTACCCAAGCTTTAACACCTGCCATCTTGAGAATGCTTTTCGCGCAATGCAGCCGCCTCTTGTTTTCACTGGGCGGGGCAAAGTTTCCTCGTGATTAGTTTGCCGTATTTTATATAGCCATTATGGTCCGAGACACATATATGTACCACACAGAATAATTTGCTGGTGCATTTGAATGCGACAACTACTTGAATGTACCAGAACGGCTTGAAATGACGACGTCCAGTAGACGTAGAGTTGTTCCATTTCAGTATTATACGGGTCTACTTCTTGTAAGTTGTGACAATTCAATCCAAAAAATCACAGTAGGACTGCCATTGAGGGAGAGAAGTCAAGCAGACATGCATACATTTTTTTGCGCATGGTCGGTCAGCAAATGGGAATGCATGCATGTGTTCCGTTATAATGGAATCTGCTGTATCTAACTCAAATCAAAAAGCTTTCCTCAGTCACTGATTTCATGTATCCGTTGACAAGCACGAAAAGTCTTATTGAGCGAAGAACATTTTCAAGATCCAAATTTTTCGCATGAAATTTTTGAAAGCAAGAACGTAGGCTGCGTTTTTTCCGAAGGCAGCACTGTATTGTCCTCGGTGTCTTTGAAGGAAGACTTAATGAAGTAAACCACATACATTTGTCAAGAGAAACACAAATAAGAAAATATTACAAAAAATGATAACTTTTACAAGCTAATATCACTAAAGGCCTCCTGGTGGCCTAATGGATGGTAATATTAAATAATAGGTATTCTGAAATCTAGAGTATCTATTATCTATTAGGTCATCAAGTTACGGAAGAGAATTTGTTTTTGTTGAATGAGTATCCTGTCAGCATGCAAAGGCCAAAACCTAAAGAATACATAAAAAAATTTTTAGTGTTCATAGTCGTTATAATGTGCAGTATAATATATAAGTCGTATAAAATACAGTAGAAAAAAATATCATGATCTCATCAACAAAAGACTTAGGATAAGTTAAGCGAATATTAACGAAAGCCTTCTTTGTGTAATTTAAATCTGGTATGTTAAAGTAAATAAAAACAAAAAAGAATACCAGTTTTGTTGACCAAACATTATTCGAACTAAATTTGATTCTATGGAGTGTTTATTTCTACAATTGAAGAAATTTCTAAATTCAAGTTCTACCTTGGTGGCACCGACCCTGGGAAGCGTCACATAGTCCAACTTAGGATAGCCGTTATTAGCAGCGTAGCGCTGGCTGCTCTCTAATCGTTTATGAAGAAATCCACCCTCTGGGAAGATGACTAGCCACCCCAGACGACGCGGTAAATAAACCTGAAAAAGCAGTCGGCATATGCAGCTGTTATACAGAACATTTTCAATGGTAAAATAGTGTAACAGGTGCGAAGCTCTACATTTTTGCAATACTCTACGAAGGTTATTGCATCTTGTATGCGTGGGCCAAACGAAGTGACTTACGCAGCGTTCTATGCCGGCGTATCCTTAATAATTTACGGTTTCGGCTTTTTAAGCTTTTTAACTTCATATCTGTATCCTACGGTATAAATCACGTTTGCCTCTTCTCTAGACTACATAGTTTTAGGGAAAATTTATTTTGCATTTTTAAGGGAACAACGTGAACTTATGCACTAAAATGCAACTCAAGTTCACATGTCAACCTCTGATGCGGCCGTTCTTAGGATGTTTTAACATGATCCTATGTAGCACTCGATGCCTTGTAAGTATTGCAATAGTACAAATGAGTTACAATATAGTAAAAGTGAAGGAATGTATTTCTTTGCAGCGTTAACCAGTAAACTTTATAAAGTGAGTTATAGTCTAGTTGAAATAATCAAGTAGAGGGGTACCCAATTTATAAAAAAGTAATGGTAATAGGCAAATGGCAATAAAATATTAATCTATTATACTGACATTCAGAAGATGTTGTCGGAAGGTCGTGAGCTGAGATTGCCGCGTATCCTTCCCCTGAGTGATGAAAAAGTCCCCGTGCGTCACCGACACAACACCGAAATTTGTAAATTTGAACATGGCGTCCATTATCCACATGACATGGTTGCAGACGTTGCGTTTTACCTGTGCTCAATGATGCCCAATATATACATATGTATATATAAATCCGGTCAAAATAATTACAGGTTCTGCAGTGAACAGAAAACATACTTTCATGCTCAGAATCTCGACAAGCTACCATAAGGATGGTAGTTGATTATGTTTCCGACTTGGGTGTACCTGTTCAACGTTGGATACCAAAGTGTCATCGAAATATATGTTTGGTAGTCACGAATTAAGAAGGCATATTCATATTGTATCATGTGTTCGCCGTCACGCGTCCACCTACCCTATCTTTCAATCGATTCATTTGTTTCTTCTCGCCAGAGATTTTCAAACCTTTCAGAAATTATCCAGCCACTTTTTGAGACTCTCTTCACTCCCAGATGAATTTCATTTGCCGGTGATCGGAGAACGTAGTAACCCGCCGGCTGAAAATCTTAAGGGGTACGGTGGGAAAAAACGTTCTGTTCAAGCTTTTGCAGGACGGCTTTGACAACCTTTGCTATATGCGGTCCGGCGTTGCCATGAAGGAGTATAACTTTGCCCTTTTTATCGGGCCTTTTCTGTTGGATAGCCTCGTTCACTGTATACAATTCACTTGTTGGTCGCCTCGGTTGTCTCAGGCGCTTCCTAAAGGATACCATAAAGACCCTTCCAGTCCCACAAAACGCAATCATTGTCTTCAAGCGACCTCGGATGACCGGCCGGGGCGAAGTGTGTCCTCTAGTTACAAAATACCATTATTAAACCTAGCAAATCACTTATAGCTATTCTCTTAAGCATAAAGTTTTCATCGTAACCAGCACAAATATTCTGGATTGCTTCAGCGACTGTTTTACCTTGACAAAAATGAAGAAAAAGGGCAAAAGATTAGGTGTCAAGGGTCGATTGTTTTCAACAGAAGCATCCATCTTTGGAGTTTGAACTTGAGCTAAAAGTCCAGTCACTGCACAACGAACTTACAACAGAGTAACGGAAAAGGAAGTAACCCTTCAACGGTACAAGAAATAAAAAGTAAGCGAAAAATGAAATAGAGAAGGAGTATTTCAGGTAACAATGTCGTTACTCACGCACTAACATGAATAATTATAGCCATTAACTTACCACCTGCCAAATTTAAAATGTCACTGTTTTCATGTAGCTTGTATAGTTTCTATAGCAGCCTACTATTTGCATGAAATACTGAAACTTCACAAAGAACGGAATAGTCTTATTGAAGTAGATAAGCAACAGTAACGGGATGGTAGGTAACGGCTTAATAACAATGCAAGAATAAGATCATTGGCACAAGATAATGAAACAACTGCGGCCTAATTGGATGATTAGGATAATGTCGTACTAAGAACAATTGGAGTAAGATTATTGTATAACTAAGTTCTAGTTATGCTGTTACCTTATGGCAGTTCCGCTTCCTTACCCCAGTTCTAAAAAAGGCATCCTTCTATTGCAATCGAGGTTCTGCTAAGTGGTTACTTCTCAAGTAAAACCAATAAAATCATTGAAATCGCTTCCGCAATTTTTCGTGTTGGTCACAATCTCTATTATTCCAGCGTACACAATAATATATTGGTATATTATTATAATATATTGATGGGTAGTAGCAGTTTATGTTCTAATTTATGTACGTGCTTGCATGTGTATGTATGTATGTCGAAAATTAACTCTTCATTTTATAATTGAAGCATATTGACAACGTGTAATGATACCTGCAGACAGCTCATGATAAGGGGCACATCGGCTGTACTCTGATGGTTGGCGACGAGTAACGTTCGCTTATCGAAGAGGTCTTCAACATCATCCCCTACTTCGTGAATGGTGTAGCCTGCTGAGAAACTCCAGTATCCCACCTAGTGGAATGATGAAAACGAAGAAATTTGTTAGTTCCGATAAAAATACCTCTGTATTTTTATGCCAAGCATTGGGTCTGAATATTATGCTTTATGCTGCAATAAAAATCTTATCAGAATAATCGGAAAACCACAGCAAGTTCAAATTACCTTATTGGTTTTTAATGTTAATGGGAGGAGAAATATAATCTACAGTACAAGGCGAGGAAGTTATGCACACTTATGATATATTACGTACTTTTTTAAGACTATAACTGTACGCAATACCTGCTTAGAATATGGTGCTTGGACAAAAACGGGTAGTAGATTTTGAAGCTCTGAAATCTGCGGTGCAAATATCAAGTACGGGGTCATGGATACAGTTTATGAGCTTTGCTTGTTTTTATTTAGTTTAGAGGGACTCCTGCCGCGATTCTAAAAATTGTAGGGATGCAACGAGATGCCTATGATCCCGGATTAATTTCCTCTCAGATGATATGCATTAACTTTCGTAAACTTACGTTCGTTATTCTTGGTAAGCAAAACGTAATTAGAATATTCTTGGATTAGTACTAAAGTATTAACTAACCATGCAGAGCATGAAAAGGACATGTCTTCCGGAGAAAAAACAATTCAAATAATTGAAGACTTCTCCCTCATCAAGGCCAACCCTTAACCCCAATTTCGGTACGGCTACTAGCTAATTTGTGAAAAGCTCATCTTAATAAAACTGAGCTTGCTTAATATCAAAAATGTACTCAACTTACAAGATCTAAAATAGCTAAAGGCTATTTTCTTAAATTCCAGTACTAGTCCAGTACATAATACTTACTGTGTCAATATGCAGTTATTATTTTTCAGGATATAACTTCGCATTTCTTGAATAATTTTGGATGCAAGTTTAAAACCTCATAGGCATAAGGCCTCTAAAATTTTAAGAAAATTGGCTTAATCCCAATGAACCAAGCGTTCCAAACTAACTACTAGATTTGTGAAAAAAATATAAAAGTTCCCATAATAAAATATATATATTACACAATCTAATACTCTGATGTCGCAGTTCTAATATCCGAAAGTGCAGCACAACACCACGTTTTGCCGGTAGGCTTGTTAAAAGTATATCTGCCTTATGCTTTATCCTTGTGATTCTTTTTTGTCCATAAATTGATAACATATTTTTCGATTTTCAACAGACCATTAGAAGAAGGTGCCGATAGAGAATCTTCTCTATCCAAATGTATATCCTCGTTTCACGAAAGGGTAATAAGATTGCCCACATCCAAACAAGGTACGTCGGAATACAGTAAATATTATTGAAAAGCACCAAGGCCGCGCGCAGCACGCACTGCAGCTGGGCCAGAACCTGGGCCACCTGCATCTCCTGTAATACAAAATAGGGCACGCATCAAAGTAAAATAAACAAATGTAGATTCATAATTGTTCGCACATCGTTACATGTTAATACTACAAAGATACATTAATAATATTCAATATATTCGTGACGTTTTTGTAACACAAAATTTGTTAAGTACCTGAGAGGCTACCTTTCTTAGAGCAGTTAATTTAATTCGAGTGGTTATTTTGGTTTCTAAATCGAGTTTGTACCATCGTTAACGTATGCCCAGTTCTGCAATAAGTAACAGGAATACTTAATTGGCCCTAAACTGAGTCTCAAAACGTAACCTATTGCCCAGAGACCACAAACTGTTTGAAATGTTAATAATAATTAGTACAACTGAATGTATCTCATAATAAAATCCGGAAAAAATGAAACGTTTTCCTAGAAAGGAGATTGTCAAGAAGGTATCATGTCGCATAACTATGTGTGGATCCTATGCATTAAATGAAGTTACAGCGCCAATACTACTTTATTAATGATCGAAAGCAATCATGGAAGCAAAATTTGCATATATTATAATAATGGTATTATTAAACTAAAGAAAATTTACATAGCTGAGCAACAAGATTTGGTACAACATGCGTTGGAGGCACAATGACTCTACAAGTAGTAAAAATACGTGAGATATGTTTTCGTCTTAAGGACTTACTTAAGGGTTAACTCTTAGGAGTTAACCCTCAAACGAATTATTGCTATAATACGATAGAATTTTCGTTATCCATACAAAAAGACAAAGCAGCGTATATATTTACTATAGTCTTGAGCATTTATTACTATACCACTTTATTGTAGTTACTGTTCAATATTGATTTCTTTCTTGGTGTTGTTGATTGCCGCTGCAGTTACTCTTTAACCATTTATTGGCCAAAAAAACATAGCAGTTTTTCCGCCATATTTCACTCTTTGAATTCCAGTAATTAGTTTGAATAATCTTAGATAAAAAATCCATCAATAAATAAGTAATCAAAAAAAAGTAATAAAACTGTTATTACATTGTGTGTCACACGTCTTATCTACTTTATTTATAAGCTCTGTTGGTGTCTGATTTTCAGTTTGTTATTTGCTAGGAGATGTACGTTTGAATTACGTAGTAATTACTAAGATAAGCAACCTTTTGGTGCGAATCTTTGTCCAAGATTTGTTCTCTTGACCTTTTTTCATGAGGAGTTTGTGTAAAGGGGGGTCTATCTTGGTACCAACCGAATTCAAATTTGTATCACGTTTCTATATCTAAACCCAAGTTTTCACGCACACTAAAAGACGGAGCGAAAGCAAGGTAAGCCGCGTTACGTCATCATTAACGGCGAAGGAGTTTTAAGATACACCGTTGTTTTCACACCGTTATTGAATAACATTGTGATGACAACGACGCCTTCATATGCGTTGCTGTCAATAAATGCAATTTTCCTCATTAATTAATGTACAGTTAATTATTGTTGTGGTAGATTTGTTTTCCTGTCCAAACGGTATCTTTTTCACAATAAATTTACATCGAGACGTGGCATGCTTTCAATCGAAACTATTCCTTCAGTAACATGTTGACAACAGCGGCCAGCGACCCCCCAGGACCAAGTCCTATCCTGTGTTACAATAAGCGCAACGGCTGTTACCAACCCAATTTTAAGTAAATCCTGTTTGACAATTTGTCATATATAAAATATGTTCTGCCAATTGTGATAACCATATAAATAATTAATCAGATTACACAGTTCGAGGACCAGATGAATGATGTACGGAAGGTAGAAAGTACGGCATGCATTAATGACTTAATCTTCTGAGATCTTTGCACGAAACGTAGTGAAAGAGTAGAAAGCATATTTAGATGCCACCATCCTCACGAATTCTGAACCAACCGCCTCATAGGAAGAATTTAGTCGCATGATCTGTCAAGTTGAAAAGAAGTCCTTGCGCTTTGGGAAAAAAGCTTTCCATTTCCTTCAACTTGATGCTTATTTCTGACATACCGTTTAAAACCATTGTTCGTGCTTTTTCAGCGTACCGTGTTGTAAGTGCAAGTTGATCTCGTAAAACAATAGCCGACAAAAACTTGAGAATCGGCCAAAAAAATGGAATGCATCCACGGAGCCGTGATTAATCATTCAGATTATGACAGATTTTTGGAAAGAATTGACACCCGCGATGATAGGAGGTTGTTGTACCTCAACATAAACTAGAGATCAGACTGAATGGTTCTAGAAGAGAAGTTGAAAATTTAGAATTGAACTAGATCTTCATCCTAAAAAGGGTTATCCTTTGCGTTTCGTGAAAGTGCGAGGGTTTGATTTACCGGAAATCGCTTTCTAAGAATCAAAGAGCTCATCGGCATATTTGTTTGGTCTAGTCGCATAGGGTCACCAAATTATTAGAAAAAAATACTCGACAAGCGAAATCAGGGCTTTCTGTTTCAAGACCAAGCGAGGCCACACAGGCAAATATGGTCAAAGCTGCGCTCCTAAACTTCGAATAGGGGATTTTCTTGCACCCTGCGTATTTTTTCAGATCTTACGCCAATAACTGTTCCCCTTTTCCGTTCACTGAGCAATTGCGTTCAATTAATTTGTGGCTCTACCTCACATGGATCAAAGATAGGAACGTGCTTGAAAACTTCTAAACGAAACCCACTACTTTCCTGCGCTATGACATACATGGTTTGGTAGGAAGTTTGAAGGTATCGAACGTGATAACTTGTTGTTACCTGGATAGGAAACATAACAAAGATATTGTGTTTTCTATCCAGAAAAAAGCGCGGTAACTTCCTTCCCTAGTAAATTTTATAGCTCACTAACCCTACGAAAATGAGATATTTTCGGAAAGTTAGTGAGCTACACCTCTAGTAGTTATCTATTAGTGATATCCGGATTTGATTAAAGAAAGTATTTTGATTGTTCGATACAGACAAATCATTGATCCACATGGAAATCGTTCATAACGGTCTCCACAGAACATCCCATAAGTCGATCGAGGCAATAAATTAAGTTCTAAGTCCCTGACTTCCCAGTCCCACATTGCTGAGTTCGTGCCGAAGCCCCTTGCGGGATACCCGTTCCGTTAGCACCTAGTTTAGGGCTAAACGCCACAGAACCTTCTTTTTTACGGTCGCTGAAAAGCAATATCTGCATACCCAGTACTGGCGCCCTCAAAGATAGCGTTCGATTACATTTGCATTTTGATATCTTTGGTAATTACATTATATTTATATACAGCTAACAAGGAACCGATTTGGCAATCTGTATGCTATTGTATTTGGATGTTTGTCTTAAAATTGTACATACCTGCCAGGATAGTATTAATGGGGTCGATTTGAATTCCTTCCATCGATCATTCTATTTCTGATATATAACTAATTCAAAACACATTCGAGATCAATAATTGTTGAGCAAGTTATAAAGACTGCGCAAAAAAAATCAACTATTTTTGAAGTGATGTAAAGTGTCAAAAAATCAAACGTTCGGTAACTGTCACTGGATTGACTACCCCTTAGGTCTCTACTTTTTCTACGTCTAGGTTTTTCCTTGTAATATTTACATATGTTCTTTGATGTGCATGCACTTACTTTGAGATGGATGTTGGATGATTTCAGTGTGGTCTGGTCTGGTATTTTAATGGTCAAGGTTGCCCTTTATCCCTACTTTTTATGACACACATTGCTATCACTTGCAATGTGTGCGCCATTGACCGCTATACGTCATAATGGATGTAATATTTCCTTCAGGTCAATGTATTTTATGCTACAGTGTAACGCACACCTACCTTGCTCTACCTCCTAAAAACTTCAATTTCATGTCCTGTCGATCCATAAGATATGTCACCATTCATCGTGTTTCATTAAATCCGCAACAATTATAACCGTATTTACTTTCGGTTTTTATTTGATTAAAAAAAATTCTATGTGTGATGCCTTCGACGGCACTTGTTCGGCTTACCGGACCTAGGAAACAAGGGTCTTATCCCCGGACACGGAATCTTTTTTCAGTAATGGCTATTTCACCAATATTAGAATGAGCATTATGGAAGTCGGTGTTGGCGAGAGCCATGCATGGCTGTCTCATTGCATTGAATAGTAATTATCGTTAATTTATCGTTATCCTATTATAAACGTAAGGCGCCTGAAAAGGGGTGCAAGTGCACAAAAGGTAGTAATAAAAATGCAGCAATATGAACGGGACGGCTGGGCGTTTGCCTGATCTAAGTTCCGCCAACTAATTTCAAATAACCAAAATTAAACAACTTCTTTTTTCGCCCGAAATCGACAATCTGCATTGTTGCTAGTTTTCACACGGTTCTTGAAGATCCGAGAAAAATTTCCATAAGGCAGATAGGAAAATCCACAGTACGATTTAGATTTAAAGAACCTGAAAATGAATCGAAATGACGAAATGATTTTCGACACACGATTTAACTGCCGCCTTGTACAGATTCGTCTTTTGGCGCTTTTTTATATTGTTTTATCTTTTTGGCCGTTTTGAGATCTTGCATTTATTGGATTCTTGGCGTACTTTTAACTTGAAAGAAAAGTCCGCGCCATGAAAGATATGCCGCTGGTATCGTTCACTTGGGCTAATCAACACCCTTTAATCTCGCTTGACGCACATACTATTAATTAATTGAGCTGTGGATTAAAAAACGGAATATTTTGAAAGTGACTCTTTCCCCGCTACAGTTTAAGCTAATGATGATTATAATATTATGTTTTCGTTTAAGAGTATGAGAAACAATTAAAAAAAGTAGTGCAAGCTTAGATGAATCATCCTGTACTAAGTGTGACAAGAGGTGTGGTTTACTACACAAGTATTCAGAACAACAAAAAAAATGAGTATAGTACCAAAAAAATAGAGCAGCCTAGTGCCATAAAAATTAACTATCGACCATTTAGTAAAGACGCGCAAATTTTTAGGTACCCCGGTTAATGTTACATCTTATATATTATAGATGCGTTTAGCAATTTGATTTCTACCTAGTCTACGATAGAATGAATTGAACGT